TCGACCGACTCACTAGGTCCGTCTCCACCGCGCTCACCTAATGCCTTGCCGGCCGTGCCACCTCCAGGTGCATCGAGACTGACGGGCTCACGCCCGACCACCCCTTCTGGGGATATCAACAGTCACGAGGCATCAGAGGAGGCCTCGCTCCCGGACGGACGATTACCACCTGACGGTCCGCCACCCGGGGTTTCCCCGTGTGAGGGGCCCGCCGCAAGGACACGCGCAAAAATGCGCAGACTGTTGTAAAACCGCAAGGACACGCGCAAAAATGCGCAGACTGTTGTGAAACCGCAAGATGTGTATATATGTTGTGTTCATTGTGTGTTGTGTGGGGGGGGGTGTGTTCCCTGCCCATTGAATTCACATACGTTGTGCTCACCTGCTGTTGTGTGTATGGTGGCTTCGCTGCAAATTGTATATAGTTTGTTCTTACGGTATCCGTATTTATTCGGGGGGGGTGCGTCGGATTGTTCCCTTTCGGGGTTGAGGGTTTTGTTGTTGTCATTGTTGTTGTTGTTGTCGTTGTTGCTGTTGTTTCCTTCATGTTAGTGTTAAAAAAAAAAAAAAAAAAAAAAAAAAACGTTTTTTTTAAGGCACACGCGGGGGTCCAGGGGTTAAATAACCTTTATTGAAAGTTGTTGCAGCCGGGACGGCTGCGAGCTGTACAGGGGGGGGTGATGTAGGGCTGTTACAGAGGGTCTGTTGTGTAGGGCTGTTTGCATAGGGGCTAACGGAAAACAGACACAGTGGGCGGGGTCTCCGTGAGCACACGGGGTGGTGCCCGCAACGACGTCCGTACTGGACGGCGTGAGGGGGGTTTCGATCCTCTAGGGGGGTATAAAAAGGGTTGAGCCAGAGAGCTCGGGGCTCAGTCTTAGAGTAGTTAAGGGAAGAGAGAAGACCGGCCAGATAGGCCCTGGACTCCCCCTGGGATGCCGCCCTTGTAAGGGCAGTGCAGGCTGGAGCCAGTGGCGTGGTCCCGGAACCAGAGTCAGACCTCTGGGATTCCGGGTACCGTAGCCCGACTAACCAGTGTCGGGCCAGACAGCCTCCCCTAGCCCGTTAGCGGAGGACTCGGCTAGGAAGGCTAGCTAGGGGTGAATTCCCAGTTGTACGGGTGAGGGGGCCGATACATCCCTCCAGTACTGTAAAGACATTGTGTAAATAAATACGTGTGCCTTACTCCGTTGTCCACGCGTCTTCAAGAACACTTCACCTGTATAAAGGACACATGGGAGCCAAGAATCTTTCTGATTGAGAGGGGGTCAAATACTTATTTCCCTTATTAAAATGCAAATCAATTTATAACATTTTTGACATGCGTTTTTCTGGATTTTTTTGTTGTTATTCTGTCTCTCACTGTTTAAATAAACCTACCATTTAAATTATAGACTGATCATTTATTTGTCAGTGGGCAAACGTACAAAATCAGCAGGGGATCAAATACTTTTTTCCCTCACTGTATCTACGACTTATCCTGGCCACAATCCACTTGGCAGAGCCTCTCGGAGTTCCTCCACAAACAACAAAAAATCACTGTCACTGGCCACGAGGAATGTTCAAACGCTGACTGTGGAGGAGAGGCTGCCACTCCTCTCTCCTTCGCCCTCCATTGTTGCTGCTGGAGGCCGACTGCCCTCCCAAATTGTCCCCCCGAAAGTAAGCATCCTCAACTGTGCAACTAGCCTGGCACTATAAATTTAAAGTTTTCGTAACTGCAGGGATTCATATTCTTGGTTCTTTCGGTAAAGTCACGTAGAAGGGAAGTAATAAAATAATAAAAAATAAAACATAATAAAATAATTCTCACGACGTTTCGGCCACAACGCAAGCAGCCGTCCTCAGGTGAAGAATGGCCGAAACGTCGTGAGAATTATTTTATTGTGTTTTATTTTTATTATTTTATTATTTTATTACTTCCCTTCTACGTGACTTTACCGAAAGAACCAAGAAGATAGCCTGGCACTGCCCAGCAGCAGCGTCCTTCGCGAGCCCTTTCCTCCACCACAAGCGAAAATCATGGCCGCTGTTAGGCATTGTGAGTGGCTGGAGGTCGGCGTGCCTAAAAATCAAACGTTGTAACCTCCTTTCCTTTTCGATTTAAAGCTTTCGTGACTGCAGGGATTCATCTTCTTGGTTCTTTCGGTAAAGTCACGTAGAAGGGAAGTAATAAAATAATAAAAATAAAAGATAATAAAACAATTCTCACGACGTTTCGGCCACAACGCAAGCAGCCGTCTTCAGGTGAAAACCAGGTCCGTCGAGGCGACAGAGTCTGAATGAAACAGCACACGAGCTTGGAGCATATATATAAGCTGGGCGCATTGACAAAGGAATTTGCATATCAAAAGGAATTTAGCATATTTATGGGAAATGCAGGAATGTGATTAGTACTGCATATGCATGTGCATTATGCAGGATTAACAGCATCAAAGGGAGCTGCAGTTACTGCTGCTGCTGCAGTTGCTGCTGCTGCAGTTTCTGCTGCTGCTGCAGTTGCTGCTGCTGCAGTTGCTGCTGCTGCTGTTACTGCTGCTGCTGCACTTGCTGCTGCTGCTGCAGTTGCTGCCTTATCCATTTTAATATAACACTATGTATTATTCTACCCACCCTAATGTGTATCACACTGCTATATGTTTACTATACAATTACGACACCATACATTACTCTGCACACTGCACCATGCCAGTGAGTGGAACGCGGTCTGAAAGTCACCGTAAACGTGAACACAATCAGTTAAGATCCGAAATGGTTTATTACGTCCTTCCAATGATTGCTAAGCCAGAATCCATCTTCTCGGTTGAAATTGTCTCTGTGTTTGTATATGTGGATCGCCTCATGAACGAATCTCTCATGATAGCCAGATGGCTTGCAGAGAACCTCTGTCTTGGAGAAGTCAATATCATGTGAGCCCACTGAGTTGTAACAGTGATCTGCCACGGCTGAGGTGTTTGTCCTACCGTGTTTTGTCCTACCAGTTTTGATGTGGTGTTTGTCCTACCAGTTTTGATGTGGTTTCCTTGTTCACCAAGGTGCCTGTGCCTGACACCATCGCAATCATTGAAGACTTGGTTCATCAAGGACTGAATGCTGGGGTACCCCCCCTGGTGAGACACTGCTTAACCAATACATACTTCACCTGGAATGGAACCTTCTACAAGCAAATTGAGGGCACCCCAATGGGCTCCCCCCTATCTCCGGTTGTAGCCAACATCTTCATGGAGAAATTTGAGATGGACGCCATCCAGACTGCCACTCTACGCCCGACCTTATGGAAGAGGTACGTAGACGACACTTTTGTCATCTGGCCACATGGCCGGCCTGCTCTAGACCAATTTCTCGACCACATCAATTCCATACACCCAGCCATCAGATTCACCATGGAAGTCGAAAATGATGGCAAGCTACCCTTTTTGGATGTCCTAATCAAAAGGAGACCTGATGGTTCAATGAGCCACTCTGTCTACAGGAAAGCCACCCACACGGATGCTTATCTAAAACCGGATTCCCACCACCATCCATCCCAGAAGAATTCCCTCATCAAGACTCTATATCATAGAGCCCAATGCATCTCCGACCATGAACACATTTCCAGTGAACTCAAACACGTACGCCAAGCTCTTAAGGCTAATGGTTACTCCGACTACACAATCCGCAAAGCCATCACTCCAACCATCAAGAAGGATCCTGTTGAGGAGCCTTTCAAGACCATCACCTTACCCTACATTGCTGGGGTCACAAAAAAGATCTCCAAAATCCTGATTAAACACAAGATCCAGGTCCGATTCAACACAGTACATAAAATCCGTGATCTGGTCCCGTCTGTAAAAGATGTGGTTCCAGACATACAGTACCCTGGCGTCTACAAACTAAGTTGCCTCTGTGGTAGCAGTTACATTGGAGAAACCAAACGACATGTCTCGGACCGCATCCGTGAACATAAGGCAGACCTGAAACACGGTAGGACAAACACCTCAGCCGTGGCAGATCACTGTTACAACTCAGTGGGCTCACATGATATTGACTTCTCCAAGACAGAGGTTCTCTGCAAGCCATCTGGCTATCATGAGAGATTCGTTCATGAGGCGATCCACATATACAAACACAGAGACAATTTCAACCGAGAAGATGGATTCTGGCTTAGCAATCATTGGAAGGACGTAATAAACCATTTCGGATCTTAACTGATTGTGTTCACGTTTACGGTGACTTTCAGACCGCGTTCCACTCACTGGCATGGTGCAGTGTGCAGAGTAATGTATGGTGTCGTAATTGTATAGTAAACATATAGCAGTGTGATACACATTAGGGTGGGTAGAATAATACATAGTGTTATATTAAAATGGATAAGGCAGCAACTGCAGCAGCAGCAGCAAGTGCAGCAGCAGCAGTAACAGCAGCAGCAGCAACTGCAGCAGCAGCAACTGCAGCAGCAGCAGAAACTGCAGCAGCAGCAACTGCAGCAGCAGCAGTAACTGCAGCTCCCTTTGATGCTGTTAATCCTGCATAATGCACATGCATATGCAGTACTAATCACATTCCTGCATTTCCCATAAATATGCTAAATTCCTTTTGATATGCAAATTCCTTTGTCAATGCGCCCAGCTTATATATATGCTCCAAGCTCGTGTGCTGTTTCATTCAGACTCTGTCGCCTCGACGGACCTGGTTTTCACCTGAAGACGGCTGCTTGCGTTGTGGCCGAAACGTCGTGAGAATTGTTTTATTATCTTTTATTTTTATTATTTTATTACTTCCCTTCTACGTGACTTTACCGAAAGAACCAAGAAGATGAACTCCTTTCCTTTCCTCACTACCTTTGCCAAACTGCACTGCCTCAGCGTGGAGAGGTTGTGGTTGAACATCAGCCATGGTCCGCAAGGCAAGGTGGTGTACACGCAGACATTTTGGAGTTTGAAAAAGCCACTCACCAATCCTTGCAGGGCCCTTAGTATTTTGTTCGGAATCAATCTGTGTGATTTGCTGTTCATCTTTACCTGCACAAGGTCCAGTCTCAGGGATTGGGGCCTTTGCGTTAAGCAGGCCCAATGCAGCCAATTCTTGCTGATTAGAGTTACCAGGCTCCCCTTCTGGAGGATGAAAGAGAGAAAAGAAAAACAATCAAATGAATGCAGGCAAAATGTTAAAAAGGGTGTGCAGCCCTGATATTGCCCGTTCACTCTACCGAAGATCTTCTTGGTTCTTTCAGTAAAGTCACGTAGAAGGGAAATAATAAAATAATAAAAATAAAACATAATAAAATAATTCTCACGATGTTTCGGCCACAACGCAAGCAGCCGTCCTCAGGTGAAGAACAGGTCTGCCGGAAAGACAGCGTCTGAACACGCGAGTGGTTGAGCGCCACTCACCGACATATTCATTATAATTCAGACGATGTCCGTTGGGGTCGGCCGCTCCGCGTTGGTTTCCATCGGGACCATCGGGCTGCGTCGTGGTTTGCGATTCTCTTTCATCCGCATCATACTCTGAGGCTGACGGCTTTCTGTCGAGCAGACGTCCAGCGGAGCCGTAGTCGTCTTGACGTCGGCCAGAGGTTGGAGTGACTGATCGAGGTGGTTGGGAAAAGGAAAATGCAACATGTCAAAGTCAAGGAGGGTGCACCACTGCGGAGGAGGCTCGTGAAGGACGCTACCAGGAGGTCGCAACCGGGTACCCGATACCCGTACCCTACCCGATACCTGGCCGGGTATCGGGTAGGGTACGTCTGAATAAAACACCCCAGGCTTTGAGCATATATTTAAGCTGGGTTGGAGGGGGAAGAGCGCCTTGACAAAATAATTTGCATAACAAGAGGAATTTAGCACAAGCAGTGACTAATCCCATATCTGCATTTCCCATAAATATGCTAAATTCCTCTTGATATGCAAATTATTTTGTCAAGGCGCTCATCCCCCCTCCAACCCAGCTTATTCAGACGCTGTCTTTCCGACAGACCTGTTCTTCACTTGAGGACGGCTGCTTGCATTGTGGCCGAAACGGTGTGAGAATTATTTTATTATGTTTTATTTTTATTATTTTATTATGTTTTATTTTTAATTCTTTTATTATTTCCCTTCTACGTGACTTTACCGAAAGAACCAAGAAGAAGTGTCTTCTCAGCGAGCTAATTATGCACTCGTGTTATCAATCGAACGCTTGTGTCCGGATACGTTCGAAAATACGTGGGCGCTGTGAATCGTGTTTGCTGTGGTTATTGTTACTCTTTGGTTCTATCGGTAAAGGTATTTATTTTATTTTATACCTACGTGACTTTACCGAAAGAGTATGGATTCCTGCAGTCACTAAAGCTTCAAATCTAGAGTGGTTATTGTTGTTGTGGCCAGCGGTGGTGGTGGTCGGTGGTTGTGGTGGTTGGTGGAGGCGGTTGGTGGAGGCGGTTGGTGGTGGAGGTGGTTGGTGCTGATGATTGTGATGGTGGTTGTGGCGGTGGTGGTTGTTGTGGCTGGCAGTGGTGGTGGTGGCGGAGTTGGTCGTTGTGGTGGTGGGTAGTGGTTGTGGGTGGTGGATGGTTGTGGTGGGTAGTGGTTGTGGTGGTAGGTGGTGGTGGTTGGTGCTTGTGGGTAGTAGTGGTGGGTAGTGGTGGTGGTGGTAATTATGATGGTGGTTGTGGCGGTGGTGGTAGTGGTTGTGGTGATGGTGGTGCTGGTGACTTACGTATCATGTCCAGGAGTTGCTGTAGACCTTCGTATTTATCCTGCACGGCTTCGAGGGCTCGAATGAGGTCCTGGCAAGCCTTCTGCCCAAGGGAAATCATCTCGTCGATGAGCCTTTCGCCTTGACACTCCTGCGAAGAAACGGTAGACACCCATCCCCTTGTCTCAGGGGTCTTTGATGGTGGCTATGGAGATGTTAACTAACCTCACCTTGTGTACAGAAGGTCGTGGGGTTTCGATACCATGACCCTGGCAATGCCTGCTGCTGTACATTTGGAGTCTGCGTCTTTTGCTGTGCGTGTCACTAGGACCCCATTCAAACCCGCAGTTGCCTGGTCTCAGCTAGTTGATGAAAGTTGCAAGCGAGAATTTCATCATCGCTTGAAGCTGGGGTTGGCATCGTCCCCCACTCCTCATTATGCCGAGGGCAAATCAGTGAGGTTTAAAACTGTGGGTCATCCAGCTGCAATTGCTGCTTTGGCAACATGGTCCAAACCTTGCCAGATACCCTGGCTGATGGAGGTGTTCCGGCTGGCTGAGAAAAAGCGACAGGCCCATTCCCATCGTCTACTGCATCCCACGTAGGAGAACGAGGAGGTTTACCGCAGCCTTCGCTTGAAGGTTTGGATAGCCGTGTTGTGCTGCAAGGATGGGTGGTGCTCGCCGGTTGCTGAGGACATGGAATCTGCCCCAGCAGCCCACAATCACAAATCACTCTTTAATTCCATCCAAAACGTAACTTGTAGCCCCTCACCTATCACCGTCCTTAAGGGAAAGAATGGTAATTTGATCTCCGACCCCCAGGAGCAGAATCTGAATCAGAAAGGGTTTTATTCGCCATGAAAGTTCGCACAGACAAAGGATTTACTTTGGCCGGAAGGTGCATACATTCAACATTTAGGAATCTTAAATCTTAAATAAGTGGTTTACAAGTCTAACTATACTAAAGGCACAAGTCTAACTAATACTAAGGAGCTAAAGTATGTAGGTTTGCAGATAATGTTTGTGAGGTCTAGAGGTAAGAGAATCCCTCAACCCAGACAACATCATGGGGCAAGGAGGGGTCGCTGGCTCAGGTGCCATCTGTGGAGGAAGTGCGTGGGACGATCCAGAATCTGAGACCAGGAAAAGCGCTGGGCAGAGTTGATCTCCACAGCAAAACTGCTGAGGGAGGGTGACGTCTGTGTGCAGACTGCGCTAGATGACATCACAACTACATGATGTGACCGCCCATGATGTAGCTGTTCACCCCGAGCTCTCAATGCCCTGATAGTGTCATTGTCTTTGTGCTCATCTTCTTGGTTCTTTCGGTAAAGTCACGTAGAATGGAAATAATAAAATAATAAAAATAAAACATAATAAAATAATTCTCATGACGTTTCGGCCGCAATGCAAGCAGCCGTTCTCAGGTGGAGAACAGGTCTGTCGAGGAGACAGAGACTTTGTGCAGTTCGCCTTTTGGTGTTATCCTCTGGGTCAAACACTTTTAGTGAGACTAAGCTCTAAAGAGAGCTATCTCTGGTGTCGTCCAATAAGTTTCAAATACAATGCATCATCATCATATACCACCAGAGCAATGCAAATCAATTTATAACATTTTTAACATGCGTTTTTCTGGATTTTGTTGTTGTTATTCTGTCTCTCACTGTTCAAATAAACCTACCATTAAAATTACAGACTGATCGTTTCTTTGTCAGTGGGCAAACGTACAAAATCAGCAGGGGATCAAATACTTTTCCCCTCACTGTACACTCCGCACTACGATACAGTTTAGACTGCACTACTTTACACTACACTACTATGAACTCCACTGCTAAACACTACACCAATATACACCACTATACACTACTATACACCACTATACACTACTGTACAGTACAGACTACACTACAATACACTACACCACTATACACCACTATACACTACACTACTATACACCACTATGCACTACACTACTATACACCACTATACACTACTGTACAGTACAGACTACACTACTATATACTACACTACTATACACCACTATACACTACTATACACCACTATACACTACTATACACTACTATACACCACTATACACTACTATACACCACTATACACTACTGTACAGTACAGACTACACTACTATATACTACACCACTATACACCACTATACACTACTATACACCACTATACACTACTATACACTACACACTGCACAACCTACGTCGTATTGAATAGCAAGTTACCTTTTTCTGAGCAATGACTCTGCTGTACACATTTTTGTATCCCAACGATTCCACCTCGTCCAGCAAGCTGCCCGGATCGTCGCAGACAAGGCGGATGATCTCCGCACGGTTGTCTTTGATTAATTTTACTTCGATTGAATCTGCAAAGTTTAAGTGAAAAATAATCACGAGATTCAGAATATTGCATTGCATGTGTAGTGCCGTAGATGGGCCACACTGACCAGCAGTGGTGGACAGGGCCCATCTGCAGGTACCTCGGACCCCCAGGGGAGGGGCCGCTGTGCCAGCCCAAGAGGGGAGGGGCTGCTGGGGGCTCTAGGATCCTAGACAGATAAGCCCTCGGCGCCAGGCTCTAGGATCCCAGGCAACCCAGACAGCTAAGCCCCTTGGCGCCACCAACGGGGGGCTGTGTGTGCTCTGTGGGGTATCTGGGAGCACACACAGCCCCACCCCTCGATGGGCAAGGGGGATAAAAGTATCGCTCCCCGGCCGATCGGGGCCAGTCGCAGCTCAAGACCCAAGGCTTAGGACCCTGGACCCCCTCATCCTGCTTGTCCTTGTAAGGGCCGGGACGCTGTGCGGGCCAGTGGTGGGACTCTGGGACTCCCGGCTCTACGCCCTTGTGAGGGCGAGTTCCGAGGAAGCCAGAGTCCAGACCCGCACCTTGGCTGGGTCGGGTCAGGTAGCCTCCCCTAGGGTAATTGTAGCCAGAGGACCCGAGAGCGTAGCCATAGTCAGGTACGCTAGGAGTAAGCTGTGTCCCTAGTCTGTAACAGAATATCAGGACTGTTGGAGTGTTGTATCGTAATAAAGAAGTTACCTCTACAAGTGTCTCCGGAACCCATTACACATACCGCAGGAGGAATCCGATGAGCTATAAAGCTCTTTGATCACAGATGGTCAAGGTAGGGGGTCACGTGGTCAGAACGTTACAACAACAAACTGTCTAAAAACACGATAGGAGTACAAAGTACAGGACAGGTAAACAAATCACCCAAACAAAGACAAATATACAACACCAAACCATGCACCCATCCTACCAGACAAAGCCCCACTGAGGAAATGAACTATTTTTTTTACAAGCGACCTGGCTTATAACAAATGATAGTGGCATAACAAAGTAGCTCATTACCATCATCATCATCGCCTAGATATGTATATCAGAAGCCCAATACTCTTAAATGCTTGATGTTGATTCTAAATGTGGAGAGAAAAATTCCACGCGACTACCACGTGAGACAGAGACGCTTCTAAGCTATTTTTTTCAGAAGCATCCTGGCCAACATAAATTATAGCAGATCAACCACGTGGGCTGATCCACCGTCGTGGAGACAATTATAGCAGCAGCAGCCAAGTCCAGTGGTGGTCACATTCTGTCACGCTTTTACCTGGTCCGGTGAAAAACCTACTAGCGCCATCTGTGGGAACAGAAGAGCTTCATAGAGCATCAGATTTCCTCCAGTATAAAAATATAAATAAATAAACCTGATTCTGAACTTTATGACCTCATGCCCCCTTACTGGACCATGAGTGAATAAAAAGCTTCATAGCTCTCGTGATTTTCTCTTCCAGCATATAAATCAATATTCTGATTCTCAACTTTCTGACGCCGTGCACAAACTGGACATGAGTCAATGAAGAGCCTCACGGATCTTGGGATTTCCTCCGCCTCCAGTGAATAAATAAATAAATAAAGATTCGAGTTCACAGGTTCAACGCGAGAAGTAAAAATGGTCGCTACTTTACCGCATGGAAATCTTCCACCCTTCATCTTGTAAATGAACGCAGCAGCAGCAGCAGCGACAAGCATAAGCAGCAGAACCACGGACACCACAATGCCCGCTGTCTTGCCTCCTCCTGTTTAAAAAAGAGACGCACACAGGATTATGTGTGTGTCTGTGTGTGTCACTGTCTCTCTGTGTCTCTGTATGTGTCTATGTGTATGCCTGTGTATGTGTCTATGTATGTTGATGATCTGATGATTGCTGCTCACTCAAAGAAGGAGTTGGAAGTGCTGCTGTTGAAACTGGAGTATGCCACTAAGAGGTGGGGTCTTACCATCAGCCCCACCAAAACTAAGTATGGGTATTTTGTGTGATGAAGCAGTTGTGGAGAGAGTGAAAAGCAGAGGTGTGGACTCGAGTCATGTGACTTGGACTCGAGTCAGACTCGAGTCATGAATTTGATGACTTCAGACTCGACTTGGACTTGCATAACAATGACTTTGTCCCACCTCTGAGGTGTGGACTCGAGTCATGTGACTTGGACTCGAGTCAGACTCGAGTCATGAATTTGATGACTTCAGACTCGACTTGGACTTGCATAACAATGACTTTGTCCCACCTCTGAGGTGTGGACTCGAGTCATGTGACTTGGACTCGAGTCAGACTCGAGTCATGAATTTGATGACTTCAGACTCGACTTGGACTTGCATAACAATGACTTTGTCCCACCTCTGAGGTGTGGACTCGAGTCATGTGACTTGGACTCGAGTCATGAATTTGATGACTTCAGACTCGACTTGGACTTGCATAACAATGACTTTGTCCCACCTCTGGTGAAAAGATTCCCATACCTGGGCGGTGTGCTTATGACCAGCTCCTGTTTACACAGCAGAGGTCTCACTCTGAATCAGTCAGGCGGCATTATCCTTTCATCGGATGCGTAACGCTGCTGTGTGGAAGTTACCTGGTCTGTTGCTCCTAACGAAGCTTCGGGTCTTCTTGGCCACAGTCATGCCCTCCCTTCTCTACGCTTGTGAAAGACTGCCATATATAACCAGAGCATGTTTTTGTTTGCATGTCCACTATTGGTATGTGTGATGAGTACAGACACAATTCCTTGCAAAAGGTTTCTGTTTGGTGTTTTAACATTATAACACCTACTGTTTTATTTCCAGAAATGGTTGAACCTATTCTTATATTTTGATACTGGTGTAATAAAGCTCGTTGAGGCGACGTCTGGAATCCGTCTTTTATTCAACTTGTATTACAGCTTTCCTCCACGCTGTTGACAGGCAGCGTGAGAGGGACAGATAGAGAGACGCACTGCCACGTGGCAACCCGGAGCCCCGCTCCCGCGTGGCCCCCTTCCTCCGTTCGTTCCCGTTCTGACCCCCGTGTCGCTCGTCTCTACCCCTATTTAATACCCAGGTCACGTGGTACGTTTCCGCCAATCCTCGTTAGCCTGCATGGAATATTCCAGGCTCCCTCGTAAGCTCCCGGGACCACGCCCCTGACTCCTCCCCCCATTGGCTGTGGCCAAAGCCAGCAGAACCAATCCTTACAGCTGTCACCTTTCCATCACGTCAGGGCCACGCCCCTAGGCTTCCCCCCATTGGCTGTAAACCAGGACCGGCAGAGCCAATCATCATGACGAGTTGTGATACGTCAGTGAGCCGGATATAGCCTCACATTACACTGGCAAGGGAGGTCTCATGATGGTGTTAGGATGTTCAAACTACCAAATAGATCTATTTTTTGCGAGGCATGAAATCTCCATTAACCACACAAACTTGTTGAAAAACATGCAAACACGCTCTGATAATAATGTAGTGGTTCACACGAACCACTTCTTTGGAGGCAACACGTTTATTTCACAATAAGCCCTCAAACACTAAGGGGTATATAACTGCCCCTTCACCAGCTACCCTAGTGAGGTATCTTCTCCGGGCTAGCTAACGCTAGCTCACACGGGGTGGCTATTTCGGACCGGATGTGGTGTGACGTGTGTGATGTCACACCAAAAAAAGAGCCCCCCCCCCCTCATTAATATTCATGCCCGCGTGGAAATTTACAGTAACGCACAAGGTCACGCACTCCACATGCTGCACCCCTCCACAATAACCATTAGCGGGTGACGTCACTCCACATGGGGCAACCCCCCTCATTAATAATCATGAGCTGAACAATTTTTCTATTGAATATTTCACATTTACTGCAATATACACCCCGTCTTTGGACGCGATAACAAGCTAGTAGTGTAAAGTAGTGTATGTTATGGTAGTATAGACTAGTGTACTGTATAGTAGTGTAGTTTATAGTAGTGTATAGTGTAGTGTATAATATAGCATAGGAGATAATAGTGTAGTATACAGTAGCATAGTGTGTAGTAGTGTAGAGTGTACTGTAGAGTGTAGTGTAGTTGTGTAGAATATACTGTATAGTAGTGTAGTGTGTAGTGTAGAGTAGCGTAGAGTGGAGTATATAGTAGTGTAGTGTGAAGTGTATATACTAGTGTATTATACTCTTTTGTTTTTTCGGTAAAGTCACGTAGGTAGAAAAAATAATATATCACGACGTTTCGATCGCAACACAAGCAATCGTCCTCAGGTGAAAAATATAGGGGGAGAACTGCCAAGATATGAAAAACAAATGGTGGAAAAAAATTATACTAGTGTATTGTAGTGTATAGTAGTATAGTGTATAGAGCAGTGTATAGTGTAGTGTATAGAGTAGTGTATAGTGTAGTATATATAGCATCTGAAAGCGCTGTGCAATGATGCGGTGACCATCTTTGTTTATATGATAATGATGATGGTGGTATATATGATGATGCTTTATATGATGATAATGGTTAATACGATGATGATAGTTAATAAGATGATGGTTTATATGATTATGGTTTGTATGATAATGAAAAAACCAAATTTTTGGTTTAGATATGTGGATGACACTGGTTGTCTGGCCACATGGTAAAGATACATTTAGTGAATTTATAAATCATCTGAATTCACAAAACCCGGCCATCCAGTTACCATGGAATTGGAGGTGAATAACACACGCCAATTCCTGGATATTTTGCTCGGACTCGGGCTAAATTGTAAAACAACACACAGCGTTTACTGAAAGGAAACGCATACTGATGCCTATCTGAATGCAGATTCGCATAATCACCCTGTACAGAAATCCTCTCTCATAAAGATACTCATACATGGGGCTAAAACAGTGTCAGATGGTGAAAGTCTGAGGAGAGAGATTAAACTTGTAAAAAAATATCTACGATTAAATGGCTACAATAATGCTCAAATGAACAGAGCATTGAATGCCAAACCAAGATCGAACAGCAATAATGCTGAAAGTGATCATGTTATGAAACAATAAAAATACCATATATCGTGGGAGTAACTGACAGACTAGCTAGCATTTTGGAGAAAAAAAATAAAATCAGAGTAAGATTTGGCATGGTACACAAAATAAAAAAACTTGTATCTAAATATGAATTGCCTAAAGATGAATTGCCTAAGTTATCAGCAGAAGGTGTGTATCGGATTAATTGCTCATTTGGCAGATGCCATATTGGACAGACGGGACGTAACATTAGCGTAAGACTAAAGGAACACCAGAGAAATATTAAATAATCACAAACAAACCTGGTGTGGCAGTTGCAGAACGAACATGCTTGCCAACAAGGACACTCAATTGATGTTGATCTGAGTACAACGTTTTTCTAGTAATTACAACCAGCTTCATCAGGCGACAGTCAAATTTGAGGAGCAATCCTCATGTTTCGTTCCTTAAATAGAGGGGTAGATGTGATGACGTCACTTGTGAGCCCTTCTTGAGTGAAGTGGCCTTGCTCTACAACAAACCGGTGTGCTGTGCTAGTACACTACACTATACACTACACTATACACTACACTATACACTACTATACACTACACTATACACTACACTATACACTAGTGCTGTACTAGTAACGAATTGGCACGTTCTGTTTACGTGAAAAACTTTACTAATTTGCTGTGTCGGGTGGTGGCGGGTTTAATGACACATTTATATATTTATGCAATCTAACCCAACAAACCTCTAATGGGAATGATATTGGTTGTTAAAGCCTACCTGTTGAACTGCATAACCCATCATCTGCTCTCTGGAAACCGGCTTTACATCGGCACAGCGTGTCGGAGCTCCCGGTGCAAGGCTGGTCAACGTCCTCGTCTGTGCGGGCAGACACGGGCGGGAAAAACGGAGAAAAATCCACATGGTGACCACCACGGTGAGACGCATATTAAAAATATACAGCAGCAGGCATCGTCAGGATGACGGGATCGAACCCACGACCTCCTGCATACCAGGCGGAGGTAACATCTGGCAGGTAATATCACACGCAGTTCATCAAAACTACGCCTCTATATAAGGAGCGAAACAGGTGGACTTCTCCACAAATCTGTCTGTCGCCTGATGAAGCTAGTTGTAATTACTGGCGAAACGTCGTACTCAGATTGTGAATGTTGTGGCTTGGCTCTCCAACATACCAGTGTGGTGTACTAGTATAGTACACTATACACTCCACTATACACTACACTAGTATATACTATACACTACACTAGTATATACTATACACCACTACACACCACACTACTATATACTACACTACTATGCACTACTACACACTACACTACGACACACGACTACACACTACACGAGTGTAGTGACATAGAATCAGCCACGTAGCAGCATCGTGCTGGCTGCTGGCGGGGAAGGGGATCTGAAGCTCACAGCAGCCCTGACTGACAGCAAGCCAGGTGATAGACCAGAGAGGGATCTACGGGAAAGGTCACGGCCGGGTACGGGTAGCTGGGTATCGGGTAGGGTACGGGTATCGGGTACCCGGTTGCTACCTCTGCCGTCTTCACCATCTCGACGTCGCCAGTCAGGCAGTCTACCAACTGTTCTGACTGGGAACCGTAGTTCATTTAGTGACGAGTTATGAAGTTTCGATTTAAAGCTTTCGTGACTGCAGGGATTCATCTAAAGTCACGTAGAAGGGAAATAATAAAATAATACAAATAAAACATAATAATTGTATTTTATAATGTTTTATTTGTATTATTTTATTATTTCCCTTCTACGTGACTTTACCGAAAGAACCAAGAAGAGTTATGAAGTGTTAAGTGTCAGGCCGTGTTAATAAACAGAGTGCCTCCTATTCTCAGTGTCTCCGAGTCAGTCACTACACTAGTATACACTACTCTACACTACTACACACTACTACACAACACACTACTATACACTACACTACCACACACTACACTAGTATACGCTTCGGTATATTCAAATCGGACATTTAGAGGAACGCCAATTCTCATTGATAAAGACGCGAGGGAAGTGGTTGTTACCTTCATCACAGGGCGTGCATTTCAAACATCCTGATAGGTGGTTAGCCATGGCCGTGTAGTATCCGTTAGGACATTCCAGACAGGTCGAGGGGCCATTGTTTTTCATGCATTCAAACAGCACGAATTGCCCTACAAGAGACGAGGGATGCAAAACGTACAAACAAACATCATCATCATCATCGCCATCCACCTCATTATTGACGAATTTGGTTACTGGTAAATCGCATGTGGAACTCGACGCGAACTGACTATATCGAGAGAGAGAGAGACGTAGACTCTGAATACACACCAGCAGGCATCGTCAGGGTCGGGATCGAACGAATGACCTCCTGTATACCAGACGAGCTAGTCAACATCTCCATAGCCACGGTGGCAACAGGCATCAGGGTCAACGGATCGAACCCAGGTCCTCCTGCACACTAGGCGAGGTGGTCAACATCTCACTAGCCACCGTTGCCCACAAATGCATGCCTAAAATAAGTATAACCCGTAAAAACAAAGTTTTTCACTCTAAATCCTTTATATGCGTGGCGGCTAGAGTCCTCTCGTCCTCTGGCTTGAGATGGCTGCCACCTATGGGTCAGATGATTGTCTGCAGTATTAAACAATTGGTAATTAAATATTTAATTTGTTTTCCCTAAACACTGTAAAATTTTGGAAAAAAAATTTCACGAACATTAATTGTCTCGCACAACGAGTCTGTGTGCAAAATGTCAGCTCGATTGGATCACGGGAAGTGGGTTAAAAAACGACCGAAAGATTTGCACGGTCGTAAGCAAGCAAGCACGCAAGCACGCAAGCAAGCAAGCAAGCGAACTTAATATAAAGGATTTAAAAATGGCAACTCCTCGTGACTGCACGAATTCGTTTTTGTCTCTGCCCTTACCTGGCTTGCACAGCTCACAACAAAGTTCTTCTACGTGGTAGAATCCAAGAGGACATGGATCCTCTGTGGGTGTCTGTGGGTGGCAGGAAAGGGTTGCATTTTATTAGACATTGTTTTTTGTATTTTTTTACATATGTAACTTTGCTATCATTGTCGTCATTATCAATACAAAAACGAAGATCCCCCCGTGTAGCCAGTAACAAAGAGCAGCAGCGCCTATGAAGGCTACCGGCACTGTGGCACACACAGAGGGGGTGGGTGGCCAGCACCACGCCCGGCTGCCTTTGTCTCCCCCAGTGGTGGTGTAAATACACCATCGCACCAGGCACTCATTTGAGGCTGAGTCGACCTAGGGGAAGCCCAGGACTGGTTCAGATAATCGCTACCACTGGTGTTAGTGGCCGTGAGTGGGAATCGAATTCGGGATGCAGGGTTTGTAGCGTAGCGTTAACTGCTATTACACTACCGCTCCCAAACACACGCAAACAGATACACAGATACACACACAAACAGATGCACACACACTCAGACACACACTCAGACACACAGACAGATATACAAAGATGAAGACAAAGATCCCTGTATAGCCTTAATAGACTGTTGGGGCAAGTGCTGTTAGCGAGCATCTATGAAGGCCGGCACGGCACACTAGGGGGTGGGTGGTCAGCACCACGCCCGGCCGCCTTTGTCTCCCTAGTGACGATGTATACACATCGCACCAGGTACTCATTTGAGGCTGCGTCGACATAGGGGAGGCCCAGGACGGATTCAGATAATCATCACTGGTGCTGGCCAAAAGCGGGAATCAAACCCGGGGTCGCCGGTTCATAGTGCAGAATAGCGCTAACCGCTACACTACCGCTCACACACACAGATACAGACACACACACACACATACACATGCGATCCATCAAATGCTGTAAAGAGCAGTTTCGAACAGGGAAACCCTCCGAGCCATTACAGAAACATTCCACAGAGCACCACCTCGGCGAGCCACCAACCATCGGTAAGCTGAGGCGAAGTCCAACAGAGCACGCAGTCCGGACGGCATCCCAGCTGAAGTCTTCCGAGTTGGCAGCCAACTGCTCACTTCAAGGCTCCACAAGCTGATCCACCTGGATCTGGCACGAAGAAGACCTCCCCGGCGGCCGTAGTAACAATCTTCAATAAGTCTTGATGTGGAAACTCAGGGGGGATCTGCTTCTTGTCCACTGCAGGACAGAGCCTGGTCCACATGCTGGTCAATCTCCAGTTTGCTGAGAAGGTCCTGTCAGAGGCACGGTGTGGATCCCGACCATCCCAGGGCTAACCAACAGATTCAAGAGAAGTGTTGCGAACGGCATCAAGAACTGTCCTCGGTATTCATCAACCTAACGAAGACATTTGACCCCCTCAACCTGGAAGCCCTTTGGAGTATCCTTCGCCATCTTGGATGCCCGGAGAAGTTTGTCACCATCCTGCGGCTCCTGCACGAAGACACGACCACCACCGTGCCGAGTGGGGGAAATAAGACGAATGCCTTTCAGATCTGAAGGGGCATCAGACAGCGTTGTGTGATCGCCCCCACCTCATTCACCACCTATATATGGCCATGGTCACTCTCCTTGTCCATGGTGGCCTTCCATCTGGTGTCGGCATCCGGTAAACCGTCTGGACGGGAAGCTCTTCAACCTCGGACGTTTTTGGGCAAAGAAGAAGCTCACCCACAAACCTGGCAGACGACTGCTGTGTGGTGCCTGACTCTGCGCAGAACATCCAGACGACCCTCCATGTATTCAACTCTGCATACAGGAGACTTGGCTTAAACTGGAACATCACCAAAACCAAGGTCCTCCACACACCGCCATCCAACAATGAGCCAAACAACCACTCACCCCCGGATCATCGATGTCGATGGAGAGGCACTTCAATACGTGGAGTAATTCCCGAACGTCCACCGTTGACGAGGAGGGGCAAGTGCTGTCCGGTGTGACAGCGCCACCTTCTACAAACTGCGCCAGCGCTGTCTTCAATGACGAAGATCTCCGCAGGATGAAAAAAAGCTCATCATTTATCGAGGGCCGCCATCGTCCCGACGCTCCTCTATACTGCGGCGTAACGTGGACAACCTACCGGTGGCCATGTCACTGCGCTTCAGCGCTTCCATCAGCGCTGCCTTCGCCAATTGCAGGGGGATCGAGTGGCAGGATCGCTGCACCGATTGCGAGTGTCTTCCTCCAAGCCGACACCACCGGCATTGAAGCGACGCGTAAAAAAAAACAACTCTGACGAACCAGCCACTGCATTTGCATGACTGAGAAGCGCCTTCACCCAGCCAGATCATTTTCTCCGAAGGCTCTCCAATGGTCAGCAGATGAGGGGAGGACAAAGGTAACGGTTTCAAGGATTTTATTTTGTGACTACAGGGATTCATCTTCTTGGTTCTTTCGGTAAAGTCACGTAGAAGGGAAGTAATAAAATAATAAAAATAAAACGTAATAAAATAATTCTCACGACGTTTCGGCCACAACGCAAGCAGCCGTCCTCAGGTGAAGACCAGGTCTGTCGGGGAGACAGCGTGTGAATGAAACACCACCACGCTTGGAGCGTATATTTAAGCTGGGTTGGAAGGGGGGAAAGGCACCTTGATAAAAGATTTCAAGGATACCGACACGACCTCCCTAAAGCACGGAACAATCATCCCTAGAGACTGGCAGGAGCAGCGGGCTGCCGACCGCCTAAGGGTGGCGCCGCTGCTTCCACCACCAGATCGCGGGCTCCACTCGGAGACCCAAAGTCTCAATGGCGAAGCGGATCGCCGCCAACGAAGAAAGGAAGAGGAAGCCGACCTGTCACTGCGGATTCTACTTCCAGCTGGGACCATCACCGCGGTGCCCTCAATGCCCAAAGATCTGTGGATCCAGAATTAGGCTCCTGAGCCACCACCAAACCTGATGGTCGTCATCCTCAAACCTCGAGGGACTGACGACGACGATGAGTCTCTGGATATCTGTGGGTCCCTGTGGGTTTCTGTGGGTCTCTATGGGTCTCTGGGTCTCTATGCATCTCTATGGGTCTCTATGTATCTATATGGGTCTATATATCTTTATGGGTCTCTATGTATCCCTATGGATCTCTATGTATCTCGATGGGTCTCTATGTTCCTCTATGGGTCTCTATGTATCCCTATGCGTTTAGAGTGTTTGGCTGCTGTGATACGTTTCAACACGATGATTATGATCAGCCACTTAGCTGAGCTGCTATCATTAAATGTGATGGCCAGGTACCACTTCTCATTTTTTAAAAAAACTACACAGCTCAGTGGAGCCTTCCATCTGGTAAACTAAAAAAAAAATTAGTTTATAGTTTAAATATCCACTGGATTGTGAAACCACCAATGACTTCTAAACTAAAATCTATAAACTTAAACTATTTTTTATCTTACCGAGTGCAAGGCTCCACTGAGGTATGTATCTCTTTTTCAGAAGCTACCTAGCTAAAATCCACACAGTGACTACCACGGGGAGAGAGAGAGAGAGATGCAGACTCCAAATATACAGCAGTAGGCATCGTCAGGGTCAGAGACTCGAACCCACGACCTCCTGTACAACAGGCGAGGTAGTCAACATCTCCTAGCCACCGTGGTCATGAGAGAGATGCAGACTTCAAATATATAACAGCAGCAGCAGGCATCGTCAGGGTCACGGGATCGAACCCACGACCTCCTGTACACTAGGCGAGGGAGTTAACATTTCCCTAACCGCCGTGGCGCCCATGATGATGATGATGAATGTCACCTACTGATAGCAGTGACCATCATCATCATGATCATCAACCCCTCCACCCCCCTTCTCTTACTGCAGCCACCAATCCGGCACAGCAGCACAGCGCCAGCACCGCCATGAGCATCTTCCCCCGTTCGGAGACCACCACCAGCACCAACCACCAACTTCCTCTTCTCCCTCTTCTTCTTATCATGATGATGATGATGATCCGATGGGCATCTTCAGTTCGTATCTCCTGAGCAACGCACCACGCACACCACAAGATCGCAAAGGGGCTCCTTGAGTTGTTGCTGTGTTTTCATGCCGCACTGGGTGGGGAGGGGCTGGGTGGGGAGGGGCTGGGTGGGGAGAGGAGGGTGGGGCTGGGTGGGGAGGGGAGGATGGGGAGGGTGGGGAGGGGCTGGTTACCCCGTGGTGCCCTTATAAAACTCAACGTTTAACCTACTCACGCCGGCTTGTGCCCGCCCTCACAGTCGGCCATATTTGCGGAATACACCACGCCGCCGTTGACCCTGCAGACCATTGACCGAGCAACCCAACGTTCCTACCAGCTCCCTCCGCAGGAATGTGTTAATATAGTAGTTTGAGAACGCATTGGGGTATCATTGGGGTGGGGTGGAGAGAAGAGGACATCACACAGTGAAGAATTAATGTGTTTGGTGTGTTTGTGCTGCATGTGTAAGGCGATTGAAAATAGGTGGCGATCGTGTGTGCGTTGCTCGGGGCAACCCATGTGAGCAGTGCAAAGTGTAATTATATAAATGCTTATAATATTAATGTGTGCGAACTTACGTCTTGTATAAATGCATATCATAGTTTTAATAGTGTGCGACTTACCTTGGGGCGATGGGCACGTGTAGGTAGCTAGGGGGGTAAACTAGTGGGCATTGCACGCAAGTGCAGCTGGCTGCGTTGTCACCCAGCGCGGGGAGAAGGGAAATACAGTAAAACCTTGGTCTGCGAGTGTCTTGCAAGACGAGCAAAAATTAAAAATAAATATTAAATTTGATTAACGAGCGAGGTCTTGCAATACGAGTAGTGCGTGTAGTATACGCTTTGTCTGCCGAGCGTCACGTGATCGCAACTGATATACGAGTGCTTTGGATCAGAGCCGGCCCTAGACCTTTGGGGGGCCCTAAGCAAAATTTGGTTGGAGGCCCCTTTGATGTATGATTGTTTTCAGCCACTCGCTAGCAGTGACTCTAGGGGGCCCTCTGCTGGCCACGGGGCCCTTTGCAATTGCAAGGGTCGCTTAGTGGCTGGGCCGGCTCTGCTTTGGATTACAAACACGTTTCCGGAACGAATTATGCTCGCAATCCAAGGTTTTACTGAACATAAATAATAGCGTAACAATACATAATCGCCAAAAAAAAGCTAATTTAACTAATTTAAAGGTGACGGACGTGAAAAAGGAATATCCTATGCCAAGCACGGGGCTGAGGGCGTGCTGCCAAATCCCTCGCAAGAGACTTTTTTATATAAGCAAAGACACCACTATACACTGCACTATACACCACGCACAGCACACTACACACTGCACTATAACACTACAATATACACCATTATACACTACACACCATACACTACACACAATTATACAATACACATTACACACCGCGAACTGCTGTATCCCGCCTATAAATGGCAGCGTGCATGCCAACTTCATGATCAGGGAAATCGCTCTCTCAACACGTGCATCACTTCGACACACACAGAGGCCCACAGACACACACAGAGATCCACAGACACACACAGAGACCCACATACTCACACAGAGACCCACAGACTCACACAGAGACCCATAGACTCACAGAGGTCCACAGACACGCACAGAGACCCAAAGACTAATCACACAGAGACCCATAGACTATCACACAGAGACCCATACAACACTAGAGACCCACAGACTCACCACACCAGAGCCCCACAGACTCACACAGAGACCCACAGACAAACACAGACTCACACAGAGACCCACAGACACAAACAAAGGCCCACAGACGCACACAGAGAACCACAGACTCACACAGAGACCCACAGACTCACACAGAGACCCACAGACACACACAGAGACCCACAGACTCACACAGAGACCCACAGACTCACACAGAGACCCACAGACTCACACAGAGACCCACATACTCACACAGAGACCCACAAACTCACACAGAGACCCATAAACTCACGCAGAGGCCCATAGACCTACACAGAGACCCACAGACACACACAGAGACCCACAGCCTTACACAGAGACCCACAGACTCACAGAGCCCCACAGACTCAGCTCCCACAGACACACACAGAGACCCACAGACTCACACAAAGAACCACAGACTCACACAGAGACCCACAGACTCACACAGAGACCCACAGACACACACAAACTCATACAGAGACCCACAGACACACACAGATACCCACAGACACCCACAGACTCACATAGAGACCCACAGACTCACAAACTCATACAGAGACCCACAGACACACACAGAGACCCACAGACACCCACAGACTCACACAGAGACCCACAGACTCACAAAGAGACCCACAGACCTACACAGAGACCCACAGCCTTATACAGAGACCCACAGACTCACACAGAGACCCACAGACTAACACGGAGACCCACAGACTCACACAGAGACCCACAGACTCACACAAAGAACCACAGACTCACACAGTCTCACCACAAATGAAGACATAAAACGCTACTAGCGAAGTTCCTCTTCCTGGGCTGGAGTTGAAGCCCCAGGTGTCTCCATCCCGCAGTCTCTCTCACCTCTCACCCCCTCACCTGCCTCTCACTCTACCTCTCAATAAAGCGAGAGACGGAGAGAGACAGACACAGTGAGAGACAGACACAGATAGACAGACACAGATAGACAGACATAGAGAGAGACAGACACAGAGAGAGACAGGGTGAGCGTCTCCTACTTCCCCTTTCAGTTTGTAGCCAAACGAAAGGGAGGGAGGGGGAAGGGGAGGGGGGAGGGGGAAGGGGAGGAGGAGGAGGGAGGGGGAGGGAGGGGGGAGGAGGGAGGGGGAAAGGGGGGAGGAGGAAAGGGGGGAGGAGGAAGGGAGGGAGGGAGGGGGCAGGGGGGGAGGGGAGGGGGGAGGTGGAAGGTGACGACGCCTCGGGTCGGAGTGACGGCTGCTGACAGAAGCCGTGCTGCTGCTGCTGCTGGTTGTTGTTGGTAGTGGTGGTGGTTGTGGTTGATGTTCTTGTGGTAGTTGTTGGTGGCTATTGTTTTGGTGGTGGTTGTTATTGTTGTTATTGTTGTGGTGGTTGTTATTGTTGTGGTGGTTGTTGTGGTGGAGGATGCTCGTGAGTGGGGAGCTCACAGCCACGGCCACCACCACCAACACCACCACCAACACCACCATCACCAACACCACCACCAACACCACCAACACCATAACTGGTCCGGGGCCTTCATAGGTGCTCGCTAACAGCATTTGCCCCTACAGACTTTTATATTCTGCGTGGGGGACCTTTGTCTGTGTTAGGTGCTACTACTCGCTACTACTAACAGCACTTACCCCTACTATACACTACAATATATACCACTACTAGCTTGACTACCCGGCTTCGCCCGGGACTTGGATTCACCACGCCCGGCCGCCTTTGTCTCCCCAGTGGCGATGTTCACACACCACACCAGTTACTCGTTTGAGGCTGAGTCGACCTAGGGGAGGTTCAAATAATCGTCACCGGTGGTGGCCGTGAGCGGGAATCGAACTCGGTTCGCCGGGTTCGTAGCGCAGCGTAGCGTTAACCACTACACCCACCGCTCCCCACACACCACACACGCACAGACACACACACAGACACACACACAGACACACGCAAACACACACATACACACAGACACACACACACAGACACACACCACAGACAGACACACACCACAGACACACACCACAGACACACACCACAGACACACACACACCACAGACACACACACACCACAGACACACAGACATACACACACACAGACACACACAGACACACGCAGACACACGCAGACACACACACACAGACACACACACATACACACACGCGGGCGAATGGAGAATGGAGCCAGGCTCAACCCGATTCACGACCACTGCGGCCGCCATGAGTCAGGGCGAAGAGTGGCGGTGAGACTGCTGGCGAGGTCTACACTGCTCTGCCTGCTCTTGGTGAGTTCAACCTTTCGCGATGGATACTTCATTCGATGTTAAAGGTTCCAGATAAACGTTAATGTTGTAACGGGAGCCCGGTATGGGGGGCGTGTGGGAGGGGCCGCCGTTCACCTCGCCTCCAATGGGAAGCGAGGTGAATGGGGGTGGAGCCAGCAGGGCAGTATGGGAAGGCCGGATCTGACGATCCGGAAGGGGAGTGGTCAGGGTTACGTCAGAATCAGAAACGGTTTTAATCGCCATGTAAGTTTGCACAAACAAGGAATTCACTTTTTTCTTCTTGGTTCTTTCGGTAAAGTCACGTAGAAGGGAAGTAATAAAACAATAAAAATAAAACATTTTTATTTTATTATGTTTTATTTTTATTGTTTTATTACTTCCCTTCTACGTGATGACTTTACCGAAAGAACCAAGAAGATGAATCCCTGCAGTCACGAAAGCTTTAAATCGAAAGGAATTCACTATGGCGGGACGGTGCATACATTGAACAAGTAGGAATCTTAACTTATGTAAAAGGTATACACTCTAACTATACTAACGTTACAAAGTATAAGTAATACTAAAGGGCTAAAATCTTTAATATTATGAATAAGTAGACCTTATAAAATGCGAAATGTAAAATGTTAATTAGCCGTATTAAACAATCTTAAAATACAAATAAGATTACACGTAAGTATGGAAAGGTGTAAATTATGTAATTAAAATGTAAGTGTAACAGTCATTTTAAGTGTAAAAGTCATTTTAAGCCCTTGGCCTTGTTGAGGAGGCCAACAGCGGATGGTGGAGAGGGTAGAGGTGGGAGCCCGGAAGGGATCGGGCTCAGTTGCGGGAGTTAAGAGGATGGTATCCGCGCCATCGGCCACGTGGCCGAAGGATCTTCGGCACGCCAGCGGTGTGCGGAGTGAGGGAGCGGAGGAGCTGTTGGAGGAGCGTGCATAGGCGCGCACGAGGAGACGCAGGAGGAAACAAGTAAACCCGTAAAAACAAAGTTTTTCACTATAAATCCTTTATATGCGTGGCATCTGGCGGCTAGAGTCCTCTCGTCCTCTGGCTTGAGATGGCTGCCACCTATGGGTCAGATGATTGTCTGGCAGCATTAAACAATTGGTAATTAAGTATTAAAAAAATTTCCCCTAAACAGTGTAAAATTTTGGAAAACATTTTTTCACGAAAATGCATTGTCACGCACAACGAGTCTGTGTGCAAAATGTCAGCTCGATTGGATCACGGGAAGTGGGTTAAAAAACGACCGAAAGATTTGCACGGTCCTAAGCAAGCAAGCGAACTTAATATAAAGGATTTAATAAAAGACCAACAGAGACCAGATGTGCCTGACGAAGTCAGTTATTACATTTGTATGGAACTTTACTCGCGGATGGTGACATGAGCTGGCACACTGCGTTACGCTTCCACATGCGCGGGTCACATGACAGATGTCACGTTACAGCCCACTTGCTGTGCAAAATATCAGCATTATTGTGCCCCCCCCCCCCAAAATACAAAAGTCTATTTTTATAATGTTTGCATGGTGTACCGTCTGGAAAGTAGCCGCATGGTAAATTTCAAGTTTGTTGCATGTCGGGAAGTACGCTAAACATTTTTAACAGACGCACACATTCACAAATTTCACTTTTTTATATATATACACTACACTACTATACACTACCACTATACACTCAAATATTATAGCCGGTATCATTAGACCTTCTTTGCCAGTACCAAAATATAATAAGAGGATTTTTTCCCCTTTTTCTGGCAACAAACCTGAAACTTTTTTACAAGGAATCATGTTTACATTAACCACAATACGTGTGGTAAAAATGCAAACAAAAACACACTATGATAATATATTGGCATTATCCCTGAAACTTATTCTTAGGTTTTTTCGGTAAAGTCACGTAGGTAAAAAATTAAAATTAATAAAAGTAAAATAAAAATAAAATAAAAATCACGACTTTTATTAATTTAAATTTTTTACCTACGTGACTTTACGGAAAAAACCTAAGAATATGAATCCTTGCAGTCACGAAAGCTTCAAATCTAGAATCCTTGAAACTGATTGGTCCACACCAAGGGACGGCTTTCTTTTGAGCCTCGACCTGGTCCGTAGTAGCACTTGCGTTGTAACTAGTGTTACTAGCCTGGTGGTCGCCACCATAGGTTGTTATTCTGTTAAGGGGAAAGTTACCCTGTGTGTTGGAACTGAATAAATGTGTTGCCTCCAAGTCTGTGTCTGCGACTCGGTTGAACACATTACAGTAGTATCTACTGACTCTACAGTAGTATCTACTGACTCTAGTAGTATTTACTGACTCTGTAGTAGTATCTACTGACTCTAGTAGTATATACTGACTATAGCAGTATCTACTGACTATAGTAGTATCTACTGACTCTATAGCAGTGTCTACTGACTATAGTAGTATCTACTGACTATAGTAGTATCTACTGACACTACAGTAGTATCTACTGACTCTACAGTAGTATCTACTGACTCTACAGTAGTATCTATTGACACTATAGTAGTATCCACTGACTATAGTAGTATCTACTGACTATAGCAGTATCGACTGACTCTATAGTAGTATCTACTGACTATAGTAGTATCTACGGACTATAGTAGCATCTACTGACTCTATAGTAGTATCTACTGACTCTATAGTAGTATCTACTGACTATAGCAGTATCTACTGACTATAGTAGTATCTACTGACTCTACAGTAGTATCTACTGACTCTACAGCAGTATCTACTGACTCCACAGTAGTATCTACTGACTCTACAGTAGTATCTACTGACTCCACAGTAGTATCTACTGACACTACAGTAGTATCTACTGACTCCACAGTAGTATCTACTGACTCTACAGCAGTATCTACTGACTCTACAGCAGTATCTACTGACTCCACAGTAGTATCTACTGACTCTACAGTAGTATATACTGACTATAGCAGTATCTACTGACACTACAGTAGTATCTACCGACTCTACAGTAGTATCTACTGACTCTACAGTAGTATCTACTGACTCTACAGTAGTATCTACTGACACTACAGTAGTATCTGCTTCCTCTACAGTAGTATCTACCCACTCTACAGTAGTATCTACTGACACTATTGTAGTATCTACTGACTATAGTAGTATCTACTGACTATAGTAGTATATACAGACTATAGCAGTATCTACTGACTATAGTAGTATCTACTGACTCTATAGCAGTGTCGACTGACTATAGCAGTCTTTACTGACTCTATAGTAGTATCTACTGACTCTATAGTAGTATCTACTGACTATAGTAGTATCTACTGACTATAGTAGTATCTACTGACTATAGCAGTATCTACTGACTATAGTAGTATCTACTGACACTACAGTAGTATCTACCGACTCTACAGTAGTATCTACTGACTCTACAGTAGTATCTACTGACACTACAGTAGTATCTGCTGCCTCTACAGTAGTATCTACCCACTCTACAGTAGTATCTACTGACACTATTGTAGTATCTACTGACTATAGTAGTATCTACTGACTATAGTAGTATATACAGACTATAGCAGTATCTACTGACTATAGTAGTATCTACTGACTCTATAGCAGTGTCGACTGACTATAGCAGTCTTTACTGACTCTATAGTAGTATCTACTGACTCTATAGTAGTATCTACTGACTATAGTAGTATCTACTGACTATAGTAGTATCTACTGACTATAGCAGTATCTACTGACTATAGTAGTATCTACTGACACTACAGTAGTATCTACTGACACTACAGTAGTATCTACCGACTCTACAGTAGTATCTACTGACCCTATAGTAGTATCTACTGACTATAGCAGTATCTACTGACTATAGCAGTATCTACTGACTATAGCAGTATCTACTGACTATAGCAGTATCTACTGACTCTATAGTAGTATCTACTGACACTACAGTAGTATCTACCGACTCTACAGTAGTATATACTGACTCTATAGTAGTATATACTGACACTACAGTAGTATCTACTGACACTACAGTAGTATCTACTGACTCTACAGTAGTATCTACTGACACTACAGTAGTATCTACTGACTCTACAGTAGTATCTACTGACTCTACAGTAGTATCTACCGACTCTACAGTAGTATCTACTGACTCTATAGTAGTATCTACTGACACTACAGTAGTATCTACTGACTATAGTAGTATCTACTGACTATAGTAGTATATACTGACTATAGCAGTATCTACTGACTCTACAGTAGTATCTACTGATTCTACAGCAGTATCTACTGACTATAGTATTTACTGACTCTATAGTAGTGTCTACTGACTATAGTAGTATCTACTGAGTCTATAGCAGTGTCGACTGACTATAGTAGTATCTACTGACTATAGCAGTATCTACTGACTCTACAGTAGTATCTACCGACTCTACAGTAGTAACTGCTGACTCTATAGTAGTATCTACGGACTATAGCAGTATTTACTGACTCTATAGTAGTAACTGCACCCATTGGGGTGAGGCGGGAGAAGAGGACATCACACTGTTCAGGATTTTCCTCAATGTTGTGTTTTATTTTCCCTTTTTAACGCTAAGGAGAACCTCCCTCCCATCGACGCAAGTCCACGTGCGTTGCTAAGGCCAACCGTGAGTCGGCTTTTCCACGCATGCGCAGATGCGTGATTTGGCGCCTCGATCAGCGTGAACATACATTGTTACAAAGCGTGATTTTATTTTTTTACATTTGAGCAAGGTCAAAAACAAATAGCACTTTTTCGTCCGGGGGCTTAATGCGTTGTATCTGTGTACTTTGTTGAAATGTAAACCCAAGAGTTTGTCAGTTAAAAGCATTGCAACGCATGCACAAGCAGACAGAGAGACAGATCGACAAAATTTTACTTTTATGGGTAAGATAGCGATCCATACTAAACTCTTTTAATTTAGCCAGGTAAGGGCCCCCTGAGTTACTGTGTAGTTATTTTTCAGAAGCGACCTCGCGATCACAAATGACATCCAAACCTAGTGGCTGATATTATTGTAAAATACTCTTAAAACTCGTGGTGATGTTGAATCTAAATGTGGAGGAGCCAAAAAAAACACGCAGTGAGAGAGATAGAGACGCAAAAAATACAAATATACAACAGCAGGCATCGTCAGGGTTTGAACCAGAGGTCGCAAACGGGTTTTGATTCCTTACCCGTACCCGGCCGCGCCAGGGTCGCAAATGGGTACCCGTACCCGGCCGTACCCGTACCCTACCCATACCCGGCCGGGTACGGGTAGGGTACGGGTATCGGGTACCCGATTGCGACCTCTGGGATGAAGCCATGTTGCAGTCGCGGGTGGGTTGATTTTAAGAACTTGAATTGTGAGAAGAGACAAGACGTTGGGAAATGAGTGACAAACGGTGACTCACCAGTGACTCACGGCCTACCCGTACCCGGCTGCATCAGGGTCGGGTACGGGTATCGGGTACCCGGTTGCGACCTCTGTTGTACACGCGTGTTACACGCAAGTGGTTGAACGCAACTCATCGCCATCTTGAGGATTATTCAGAAGCTGTTTGCCGGATTCTGCCCCTCCACATTGGTCTCCATCGGAACCAACATCTTGAGGATTATTCAGACGATGTCCATTGGGGTCGGCCGCTCCGTGTTGGTCTCCATCGGGACCACCAGGCTGCGTCGAGGTTTGCGATTCCCTTTGATTCGTGTCGGACTCTGAGGCTGACGGCTTTCTGTCGAGCGGACGTCCAGCGGAGCCGGAGGCGTCTTGACGCCTGCCAGAGGTGGGAGTAACTGATCGAGGTGGGTGGGGAAAGGAAAATGCAACATGTAAAAGTCAAGGTGGGTGCGCCACTGCGGAGGAGGAGGAGGAGGCTCGTGAAGGACGCTACTAGAGGTCGCAAGTAGTGACTAATCCCATATCTGCATTTCCCATAAATATGCAATGGCTCTGCTGTGCACATCTGCGTATCCCAACGATTCCACCTCGCCCAGCGAGCTGCCCGGATCGTCGCAGACAAGGCGGACGATCTCCGCGCGGTTATCTTTGATGAATTTTACTTCGATAGAATCTGCAAATTTCGATTTAAAGCTTTCGTGACTGCAGGGATTCATCTTCTTGGTTCTTTCGGTAAAGTCACGTAGAAGGGAAGTAATAAAACAATACAAATAAAACATGATAAAATAATTCTCACGGCGTTTCGGCTACAACGCAAGCAGCCTTCTACGTGACTTTACCGAAAGAACCAAGAAGAAGAATCTGCAAAATTTAAGTGAAAAATAATCACGAGATTCAGAATATTGAATATTGCATACCGCAGGAGGAATCCGATGAGCTCTTTGATCACAGATGGTCAAGGTAGGGGGTCACGTGGTCAGAACGTTACAACAAAAAACAGTCTAAAAAACACGATAGGAGTACAAATGTGGCACATTAGGAATGGATCACTCTTTTAATTATATCCTTGTGCAGCAAGGGAGTAAAGTGTGGTTCTGTGAAGGTCCTGATGTGCTGTGCAGTGCATCAATGCATGTGTGTACAGCAGCATGTGATGACTGAGTTGGGCCTGTAGGTGGCTGGCAGGGTCATTGAATAACCACGCGGATATACCAGTCACATGGTTAATGGCGGCTCGGGAACAAGGCTGGTTGTAACACACGTGTTGTTGCATTTTACAGGTAAAAGACCCAAAAGTTGTTTTTTATCGTTATATAAATGTTCTAGACTTATTATAGACTTGTTCTAGACTTTAAGCTTGGCTTTGAATTGTTCGTTTGTGATATATGCAATTAGAGGCATTTTAGCACTGTGCATTGTAAAGAGATGACGCACTGTAATTAGTTACTGTCATTGTAATTCTCTAACTCTAATACTGTTTAGTCTATAACCATGCCCATGTACCCAGAATATGACTACTTGCAATGCTATTGAGAATAGAACACATGTAAAGTAGTAAGCTGTACAATGGTGATATACAGTACGTATACTGTACACATACAGTACATATAATGGGTGTAAGATACCGATATAAGTGCATGGTATAGATAGACATACAGCTTAGGATTAAAGTAATATTCGAATAGTGATGTGCAAATGTGATTGTCAAAGACAAGGATGGTTTATCAGTAGTAGAATTGGGTTTAAGAGAAAGAGTTCATGAATAACCGCGCGGATATACCAGTCACATGGCTAATGGCGGCTCGGGAGCAAGGCTGCGTGTAACACACGTGTTGTTGCATTTGACAGAGTGACGGTGCTGTTCTTCACCAAGATTAATATTAACCACAAGAAATGAATGTGCTTGCCCTCGATTTGGAGCACCTGCCCACGTCCTTCATTTAGAGTGTGAAACACAAAGGACAAGAAAGATGACAATTGTTTTTTTACCCTTCTATCTGGCAACAAAACTGACACCTTTTTACAAGGAGTCATGTTTGCATAGACCGCAATACCTGCAGTCATAATACAAACAAAAGAACAAAACTGTGATAATGTATGCACTGTCCTTGAAGTTGATTGGTCCACACCCGAGACAGCTTTCCTTAGAGCCGAGTCTCACATGGTCCTTGAAGTTGATTGGTCCACACCCGAGACAGCTTTCCTTAGAGCCTAGTCTCACATGGGTTGGACCAGATGACGCCAAAAGGCGCACAACTCAAAGACAATGCATCATGAGAGTATGAGAGCTCGGGGCAAGCATCTACACTATGGGAACCTCATTTGCCAGTAAAAATATGATAATTGGTTTTTTACCCTTCTATCTGGCAACAAAACTGACACCTTTTTACAAGGAGTCATGTTTGCATAGACCGCAATACCTGCAGTCATAATGCAAACAAAAAACATAACTCTGATAAGTACAAGAAAGGTAAACAACTCACCCAAACAAAGACAAATGCACAACACCAAACCATGCACCCATCCTACCAGACAAAGCCCCACTGAGGAAATGAACTATTTTTTTTAACAAGCGACCAGGCCTATCACAAATGATAGCGGCATAACAAAGTAGCTGATTACCGTAGTAGTAGGTTTTTACCCTTTTAAACTGGTACAAAACTGACACCTTTATTCAAGGCATCATGTTTGCAATAACCACAACACAAGTAGTCAAATAAAGGATTTAAAAAAAAAAGTTTTTCACTCTAAATCCTTTATATGCGTGGCGGCTAGAGTCCTCTCGTCCTCTGGCTTGAGATGGCTGCCACCTATGGGTCAGATGATTGTGTGCAGTATTAAGCAATTGGTAATTAAATATTTCATTTGTTTTCCCTAAACAGTGTAACATTTTGGAAAAAAATTTTCACGAAACATTAATTGTCTCGCACAACGAGTCTGTGTGCAAAATGTCAGCTCGATTGGATCACGGGAAGTGGGTTAAAAAATGACCGAAAGGTTTGCACGGTCGTAAGCAAGCAAGCAAGCAAGCGAACTTAATATAAAGGATTTAAAAAGCATAATGATAATAATATGCAAACATGATGCATTGAATAAAGGTGTCAGTTTTGTACCAGTTTAAAAGGGTAAAAACCTACTACTATATTTTGCCACTGGTAAAAGAGATCTCATAGAGTAGCTGATTACCATCATCACCATCAGCCTCATGGTTTTGTGTGTTATTCTCAAGGAGATGCGATGCAGTCGATCCAGGCTGATCAGAGTGACCTCGCTCCCTTTCTAGAAGTTGAACGAGAGAAGAAAAACAACAATCAAATGAATGCAATCAAAATGTAATAAGTATAACCCGTAAAAACAAAGTATTTCACTATAAATCCTTTATATGCGTGGCGGCTAGAGTCCTCTCGTCCTCTGGCTTGAGATGGCTGCCACCTATGGGTCAGATGATTGCATTGCACCATTAAGCAATTGGTAATTAAATATAATATTTTTGTCCTAAAAAGTGTAAAATTTTGGGAAAATTTTTTCACGAACATTAATTGTCACGCACAACGAGTCTGTGTGCAAAATGTCAGCTCGATTGGATCACGGGAAGTGGGTTAAAAAACGACCGAAAGATTTGCACGGTCGTAAGCGCGCAAGCAAGCAAGTGAACTTAATATTAAGGATTTAAAAATGGTCGCTACTTTACCGCATGGAAATCTCCCACCCTTCTTGTAAATGAACGCAGCAACAGCAGCAACGACAATCAGGAGCAGCAGAACCACGGCCACCACAATGCCCGCTGTATTGCCTCCTCCTGTTTAAAAAGAGAAGCAGGCAGGGTTATCTGTGTGTCTGTGTGTGTCACTGTCTCTCTGTATCTGTGTCTGTTTCTCTGTATGTGTCTGTGTGTGATGGGGAGCGGTGGGTGTAGTGGTTAGCTCGCTGTGCTATGAACCTGGCGACCCGGGTTCGATTCCCGCTCACGGCTAACACCAGTGACGATTATCTGAACCGGTCCTGGGCCTCCCCTAGGTCGACTCAGCCTTAAATGAGTACCTGGTGCGGTGTGTAAACATCGCCACTGGGGAGACAAAGGCGGTCGGGCGTGGTGCTGGCCACCCACCCCCTCGTGTGCCGTTCCGGCCTTCATAGGTGCTCGCTAACAGCACTTGCCCCTACAGTCTGTTAAGGCTATACGGGGGATCTTTATCTTTGTATCTTTGTCTGTGTATGTGTCTATGTATGTTGATGATCTGGTGATTGCTGCTCATTCAAAGGAGTTGAGGCGCTGATGCTGAACATGAAATGTGCCACTAAGAGGTGGGGTCTTACCATCAGCCCCACCAAAACCAAGTATGGGTATTTTGTGTGATGGAGCAGTTGTAGAAAGAGTGGAGAGTTTCCCATACTTGGACAGTGTGTTTATGACCACCTCCTGTTTACACAGCAGAGGTCTCACTCCGAATCAGTCAGCCGGCATTATCTTTTCATCGGCTGTACAATGTTGTGTGGAAGCTACCTGGTCTGTCACTCTGCATGAAGCTTCAGGTCTTCTCGGCCACGGTCATTCCCTCCCTTCTCTACGCTTGCGAAACGTGGACCCCCCTAATGGAACATCTTCGACGGTTAGAAACATTTAGGCTGGCCTGCCTACGATCCATCCTGGGTTTAACCAGGTTGCATTGTGTGAGGAGCTCACATATACTTGAAAGATCTGGACAAAGTCCCATCGGTGAGCTCCGGCAGGCAAGGCTGCGTTGGCTGGGCAATGTAGCCCGCATGCCCAGCCACCGCGTGCCTTAACAGCTTTTGTTCGGCCGAATCGAGGGGGCTAAACGGGCGCGGCACGGGCTAGAGAAGAGATGGAGTGATGTGGTACAGGAGGACGTGGAGCTGAGTGAACTTGCCGATGACCGGTACCAGCGGTGTCAAGATCGGCCTCTGTGGAGGAGGCTCGTGAAGGACGCTACTGGGCAGTTGGAGGCAGTCGCCCTCCAGCAACAATGGAGGGCGGAGAAGCGACGCTCACAACAACGAGCGGAGCGCCGGGTGGCTAAAGCACAGCAAGTTGGCACAGTAGGGGGCACAAGTGGTGCATCAGCCTGTCATCTCGGTCATCTCAATCAGTCGACCCGTGGCACCTGGGTCTGCCCCGTGACCTGCCAGCGGGCGTTCGACACTTCACGAGGCCTCAAGAGGAACATGGCCTTGCACAAGCGTCGTGGTGACGTCACCACCACGTAGTGACGAATGGCGGTTGTGTATATTGTAGTGTATAGTGTAGTGTAATAGAGGTGTAGTGTTTAGAAGTGTAGTGTATAGTGTAGTGTGTAGAATATTTATTGTAGTGTAGTAAATAGTCATGTAGTGTATAGTTGTGTAGTATATAGCTGTGTAGTGTATAGTATTGTAGTGTACAGTGTATAGTAGTGTATAGTTGTATAGTTGTGTAGTGTATAGCTGTGTAGTGTATAGTATTGTAGTGTACAGTGTATAGTAGTGTATAGTTGTGTAGTGTATAGCTGTGTAGTGTATAGTATTGTAGTGTACAGTGTATAGTAGTGTATAGTTGTATAGTGTATAGTTGTGTAGTGTATAGCTGTGTAGTGTATAGTATTGTAATGTACAGTGTATAGTAGTGTATAGTTGTATAGTGTATAGTTGTGTAGTGTATAGCTGTGTAGTGTATAGTATTGTAGTGTACAGTGTATAGTAGTGTCGTGTATAGTAGTGTCGTGTATAGTAGTGTATAGTGGTATAGTGTATAGTAGTGTAGTGTATAGTAGATTATTGTATAGTAGTGTACGGTAGAGTGTAGTATATAACAGTGTGCAGTGTACAAAATAGTGTTTCATAGTGTAGTGCATAGTTCATGGTAGTGAATAGTGTTGTGTATAGTAGTGTAATATATAGAGTCATAGTGTAGTGTATAGTGTAGTGTGTATAACATCTGAAAGCACCGCCTGATGATGCGTTGGACGTCTTTATTCGCCAGCCATCCTAAAAGCTGCTGTTGCTGCTGTGAGGATGATGATCAGGATGATGGTTGTTTATGTGACGACGATGGTTTATATCATGATGGTGACGGTTTTTTGATGATGGTGGTTCATATGATCTTGGTTCATATGATAATATTTTATATGACGATGATGATGGTTTACGTGATGATGATGATGATGGTTTATATGACGACGATGATGATGGTTTTTATCGCTCCGTGACGAGATCGTCGAAGTGCACCTGAGTCAGGAGGGGCGGTGGTACTCGATGTCACAGGTGGAACAGAATCCTCCCTGCACAATTCCTCGCTGCCAAGCTTATGATAGCCGGGTTTGCATCTGCACCGTCTGTTTGTGGATGCGCTGCATTGCCGCTCCTCTTCCTCATCTGTGAATAAGATTTTAAAAAATCGAGTAGTGTATAGTGTAGTGTATAGTGTAGTGTATAGTGTAGTGTATAGTAGTGTATAGTGTAGTGTAGTAGTGTATAGTGTAGTGTATAGTGTAGTGTAGTAGTGTGTAGTGTATAGTGTAGTGTATAGTAGTGTATAGTGTAGTGTATAGTGTAGTGTATAGTAGTGTATAGTGTAGTGTATAGTGTAGTGTAGTGTATAGCGTAGTGTATAGTAGTGTATAGTGTAGTGTATAGAGTAGTGTATAGTGTGTAGTGTATAGTGTAGTGTATAGTAGTGTATAGTGTAGTGTATAGTGTAGTGTATAGTGTAGTGTGTAGTGTATAGTGTAGTGTATAGTGTAGTGTAGTGGTGTATAGTGTAGTGTATAGTGTAGTGTGTAGTGTAGTGTTGTGTATAGTGTAGTGTATAGTGTAGTGTATATAGTAGTGTATATAGTAGTGTATAGTGTAGTGTATAGTGTAGTGTGTAGTGTAGTGTGTAGTGTAGTGTATAGTGTAGTGTATAGTAGAGTGTATAGTGTAGTGTGTAGTGTATAGTGTAGTGTATAGTGTAGTGTGTAGTGTAGTGTATAGTGTAGTGTATAGTGTAGTGTATAGTGTAGTGTATAGTAGTGTCGTGTATAGTAGTGTCGTGTATAGTAGTGTAGTGTATAGTGTAGTGTATATTGTAGTGTATTGTGTAGTGTATTGTGTAGTGTAGTGTATAGTGTAGTGTCTAGTGTAGTGTATAGTGTAGTGTATTGTGTAGTGTATTGTGTAGTGTATAGTGTAGTGTGTAGTGTGTAGTGTAGTGTATAGTGTAGTGTATAGTGTAGTGTAGTGTATATTGTAGTGTGTAGTGTATAGTGTAGTGTATAGTGTAGTGTATTGTGTAGTGTATTGTGTAGTGTAGTGTGCAGTGTAGTGTATAGTGTAGTGTATAGTGTAGTGTATAATGTAGTGTATAGTGTAGTGTATAGTGTAGTGTATAGTAGTGTCGTGTATAGTAGTGTACAGTAGTGTAGTATATAGTGTAGTGCATAGTGTAGTGTATAATGTAGTGTATAGTGTAGTGTATAGTGTAGTGTATAGTAGTGTCGTGTATAGTAGTGTATAGTAGTGTAGTATATAGTGTAGTGTATAGTGTAGTGTATAATGTAGTGTAGTGTATAGTGTATAGTAGTGTATAGTGTAGTGTATAGTAGTGTATAGTGTAGTGTATAGTGTAGTGTATAGTGTAGTGTATAGTGTAGTGTATAGTAGAGTGTAGTGTGTAGTGTATAGTGTAGTGTGTAGTGTATAGTGTAGTGTATAGTAGAGTGTGTAGTGTATAGTGTAGTGTATAGTGTAGTGTATAGTGTAGTGTATAGTTTCGTGTATAGTTTCGTGTATAGTGTAGTGTGTAGTGTAGTGTAGTGTATATTGTAGTGTGTAGTGTATAGTGTAGTGTATAGTGTAGTGTATTGTGTAGTGTATTGTGTAGTGTAGTGTATAGTGTAGAGTGTAGTGTGTAGTGTAGTGTGTATTGTAGTGTGTAGTGTATAGTGTAGTGTATAGTGTAGTGTATAGTAGTGTTGTGTATAGTGTATAGTAGTGTAGTATATAGTGTAGTGTATAGTAGTGTAGTATATAGTGTAGTGTATAGTGTAGTGTATAGTGTAGTGTATAGTGTATAGTAGTGTAGTGTATAGTAGTGTATAGTAGTGTATAGTGTAGTGTATAGTAGTGTAGTGTATAGTAGTGTATAGTAGTGTATAGTGTAGTATATAGTAGCTTAGTGTATAGTGTAGTGTATAGTAGTGTAGTGTATAGTAGTGTAGTGTATAGTGTAGTGTATAGTAGTAGAGTGTATAGTAGTGTATAGTGTAGTGTATAGTAGTGTAGTGTATAGTAGTGTATAGTGTAGTGTATAGTAATGTAGTGTATAGTAGTGTAGTGTATAGTAGTGTATAGTGTAGTGTATAGTGTAGTGTATTGTGTAGTGTATTGTGTAGTGTATAGTGTAGTGTGTAGTGTGTATTGTAGTGTATAGTGTAGTGTATAGTGTAGTGTAGTGTATATTGTAGTGTGTAGTGTATAGTGTAGTGTATAGTGTAGTGTATTGTGTAGTGTATTGTGTAGTGTAGTGTGCAGTGTAGTGTATAGTGTAGTGTATAGTGTAGTGTATAGTGTAGTGTATAGTAGTGTAGTGTATAGTGTAGTGTATAGTAGTGTCGTGTATAGTAGTGTATAGTAGTGTAGTATATAGTGTAGTGTATAGTGTAGTGTATAATGTAGTGTATAGTGTAGTGTATAGTGTAGTGTATAGTAGTGTCGTGTATAGTAGTGTATAGTAGTGTAGTATATAGTGTAGTGTATAGTGTAGTGTATAATGTAGTGTAGTGTATAGTGTAGTGTATAGTAGTGTATAGTGTAGTGTATAGTGTAGTGTATAGTGTAGTGTATAGTGTAGTGTATAGTAGAGTGTAGTGTGTAGTGTATAGTGTAGTGTGTAGTGTATAGTGTAGTGTATAGTAGAGTGTGTAGTGTATAGTGTAGTGTATAGTGTAGTGTATAGTGTAGTGTATAGTGTAGTGTATAGTGTAGTGTGTAGTGTAGTGTATATTGTAGTGTGTAGTGTATAGTGTAGTGTATAGTGTAGTGTATAGTGTAGTGTATTGTGTAGTGTATTGTGTAGTGTAGTGTATAGTGTAGAGTGTAGTGTGTAGTGTAGTGTGTATTGTAGTGTGTAGTGTATAGTGTAGTGTATAGTGTAGTGTATAGTAGTGTTGTGTATAGTGTAGTGTATAGTAGTGTAGTATATAGTGTAGTGTATAGTAGTGTAGTATATAGTGTAGTGTATAGTGTAGTGTATAGTGTAGTGTATAGTGTATAGTAGTGTAGTGTATAGTAGTGTATAGTAGTGTATAGTGTAGTGTATAGTAGTGTAGTGTATAGTAGTGTATAGTAGTGTATAGTGTAGTATATAGTAGCTTAGTGTATAGTGTAGTGTATAGTAGTGTAGTGTATAGTAGTGTAGTGTATAGTGTAGTGTATAGTAGTGTAGTGTAAAGTAGTGTATAGTGTAGTGTATAGTAGTGTAGTGTATAGTAGTGTATAGTGTAGTGGATAGTAGTGTATAGTAGTGTATAGTGTAGTGTATAGTGTAGTGTATAGTAGTGTATAGTGTAGTGTATAGTAGTGTATAGTAGTGTATAGTGTAGTGGATAGTAGTGTGGTGTATTGTAGTGCTCTATAGTAGTGTAGTGTATAGTAGTGTAGTGTATAGTAGTGTAGTGTATAGTAGTGTATAGTAGTGTAGTGTTGAGCGTAGTGTATGGTAGTGTATAGTATAGTGTATTGTAGTGTATAGTAGTGTATAGTGTAGTGTATAGAAGTGTATAGCGTAGTGTACAGCATAGTGTATCGAATGTTAGGCCAATGATGCTTCAGCACACAAGACAATCGGGGATAAGTCGCTCACCAGACTGACATGTTATGCACTCCATGCATTTTGGTGAGCTGTTTGGATACTCCGTATAATAGCCACCTTCACAGACTTGACAGCCGGAGTGTCCCTGTTCAGCTGTGCAGTCCGATATTAAATACTCCCCTTTTGGGAGCAAAACACAAAACACACGAACACACGGACAAACGTTCAGAAATTATTGTTTTTATGGAAAAAAAAATGTACTCGGCTGAACTTATACTAATAGGGTTTTTCCCCTTTTTTCTGGCAACAAAAACTGACACCTTTTGCAAAGAATCATGGTTACATTAACCGCAATACTTGCAGTCAAATGCAAACAAAAAACAATACTCTGATAATGTATGCATTGTCTTTGAAACTGATTGGTCCACACCAGAGACAGCTTTCTTTAGAGCCTAGTCTCATATGGTGTTCGACCAGATGACGCCAAAAGGCTAAACGTATATATTTTTCATCCTGCGATGTGTAAGATCCCGCTGAGCTCCGTAAATCTTTTTCAGAAGCGGCACCTTAATATCGCAAATGATAGCAACTCAACCAAGTGGCTGATAAACGATTGTTTTCATTCACATTTTCCGAAAAAATGTAGACAGCTAAACGAATTTTTTTTATCCTATGAGGCGTAAGGCTCCACTGAGCTATTTTTCAGAAGAGGTACCTGGCCATCACATACGATAGGAGCTCAACTAATTGGCTGATAGCATCATCATCTGGACATTAATAGTAGAAAAGTAGTCTAAATACTCTAACGGCGTCATGTTTATTCTAAACGTGGAGGGAAAAACCGGAGGGACCTGGAGAACAATCCACAGGGAAGAGAGAGACGCAGGGTCCGGGATCGAACCCACGACCTCCTGTATACAAGGCGAGGTAGTTAACATCTCACAGGATCCAGGATCGAACCCACGACCTCATGGATACCAGGCGAGGTAGTTAACATCTCACAGGATCCGTGGTCTAACCCACGACCTCCTGTACACCAGGCGAGGTAATTAACATCTCGCAGGGTCCAGGATCGAACCCACGACCTCCTGTATACCAGGCGAGGTAATTAACATTTCGCAGGGTCCAGGATCGAACCCATGACCTCCTGCATACCAGGCGAGGTATCTTCTTGGTTCTTTTGGTAAAGTCGTCACGTAGAAGGGAAGTAATAAAATAATAAAAAATAAAACATGATAAAATAATTCTCACGACGTTTCGGCCACAACGCAAGCAGCCGTCCTCAGGTGAAGACCAGGTCTGTCGAGGCGACATCTCCTAGCCACTATGGCGCCCCCAATTGTACCGTGATTGTGCAATTGCCACCATGTGTTTGTAGTTTGTTATCCTTCCTCTGCACCTCCAATTAGCGTGGTTGGTTCCGTACGGTGCCAAAAAAATTCAACGTACACTCTGCTAAACACTTCAATAAACTACTAAACAGTACACTATACACTAAATACTATACACCAAACAACGATATACACTGCACTATACTATACAATACATTACACGCTATATACCACACACTACTCCAATACACTATACACTGCACCACGTTACACTACTATACACTATACACTACACACTATACATTATACTACTACACACTACACTACATTACACTATACTATACACTACACCACTATACACGACACCACTATACACTACACCACTATACACTACACCACTATACACTACACCACTATACACTACACTACTATGCTGCATTGACATTTCTTTAGAACTACATTCCTCTGTGTTTGTTGTAGATCCCCTGCCACCTCCGATTCGCGTGGTTAGCTACGTGCTGTGGTGCGAGAGATGTTCAACACACGCGTACACCCACTCACACAACACAGAGGCCTCTTTACAATAGCTGCACTGGCAATGGAATGGTTTTCCGTCTTATTTTAAGAAAAAAACACCACCACTATCTGTGAACTTTAAAATATATCGATCGTAAAAAAAAAATGTACTAGGAGATGGCCAATTTCTATTCTTTGTGTTTTTTTCAGAAAAGTCACGTAGATAGAAAAAGCATAAAAAATAAAGTGAATTTAAAAAATATAAAAAATAACAAATAAAAAAAAACACTTTCATGATTTTATTTTATTATATGTATTCACTATATTCACTTTATTTGTTATTGTTTTTCTGTCTACGTTACTTCACCAAAAGAACCAACGAATTTGAATTGCTGCAGTCACGAAAGTTTTAAGTACAAATTTAGGGCCAATTTCCTGCGAACTTTAAAATATATCGATAGTAAAACATTACTATAAGAAGGCCAATTTCCTTCACCTGCTTCGCACTGCTGACAGCAAATGTCACCGCTTGCTGCCCGGTAGAATCCTCGAGAGCACTCGCCGGCTTTGGATGTCTGTGAACGGGTAGAGAGAAGGGCAATTAACAAGTTTCGATTTAAAGCTTTCGTGACTGCAGGGATTCATCTTCTTGGTTCTTTCGGTAAAGTCACGTAGAATGGGAATACTTATTTTATTCTATTATTTTATTATAGTATTTTAATGTTTTATTTTTATTATTTTATTATATTATACAAAGTTATTATATTATAATATAATTGCATATTATTTAATTTTTTATATTATTTTATTATATTATATTATTCAATTATTTTATTATGTTCCATTTTTATTATTTTATTATTTCCATTCTACGTGACTTTACCGAAATAACCAATAAGATGAATCCCTGCAGTCACGAAAGCTTTAAATCACGTAGGTCAGTAAAAAAGTAAAAAAAAAGAAATGAAAACAACTAAATTAAATCACCACGTTTGCAATAAACTCTCTTTGAGGGAGTTTCTCGCCTCTTCCCTCGCGGTGAGTGTTACCATTTTTTATTAAATCCTTTATATTAAGTTCGCTTGCTTGCTTGCTTACGACCGTGCAAATCTTTCGGTCGTTTTTTAACCCACTTCCCGTGATCCAATCGAGCTGACATTTTGCACACAGACTCGTTGTGCGTGACAATGAATTTCCGTGAAATTTTTTTTCCAAAATTTTACACTGTTTAGGGAAAACAAATTAAATACTTATTTACCAATTGGTTAATGCTGGCACACAATCATCTGACCCATAGGTGGCAGCCATCTCAAGCCAGAGGACGAGAGGACTCTAGCCGCCCCGATGCCACGCATATAAAGGATTTATAGTGAAAAACTTTGTTTTTACGGATTATACTTATTAAATCCTTTATATTAAGTTCATTTGCTTGCTTGCTTAGGACCGTGCAAATCTTTCGGTCGTTTTTAACCCACTTCCCGTGATTCAATCGAGCTGACATTTTGCACACAGACTCGTTGTGCGTGACAATTAATGTTCGTGAATTTTTTTCCAAAATTTTCCACTTTTTAGGAATTTTTTTTTCAAATATTTAATTTAAAATACCAATGTGATAAAAATGAAACTCTTACTCAAGAAAAACAGAAATGAATAACAAAATAAAACCGATGCCACGCATATAAAGGATTTATAGTGAAAAACTTTGTTTTTACGGGTTAATTTTTTAAAAATCCTTTATATTAAGTTCGCTTGCTTGCTTAGGACCGTGCAAATCTTTCGGTCGTTTTTTAACCCACTTCCCGTGATCCAATCGAGCTGACATTTTGCACACAGACTCGTTGTGCGTGACAATGAATTTCCGTGAAAACATTTTTCCAAAATTTTACACTGTTTAGGGAAAACAAATTAAATATTTAATTACCAATTGTTTAATACTGCAGACAATCATCTGACCCATAGGTGGCAGCCATCTCAAGCCAGAGGACGAGAGGACTCTAGCCGCCACGCATATAAAGGATTTAGAGTGAAAAACTTTGTTTTTATGGGTTATACTTATTTAATCCTTTATATTAAGTTCACTTGCTTGCTTGCTTACGACCGTGCAAATCTTTCGGTCGTTTTTTAACCCACTTCCCGTGATCCAATCGAGCTGACATTTTGCCCACAGACTCGTTGTTCGTGACAATGAATTTCCGTGAAAATTTTTTTCCAAAATTTTACACTGTTTAGGGAAAACAAATTAAATACTTATTTACCAATTGGTTAATGCTGGCACACAATCATCTGACCCATAGGTGGCAGCTATCTCAAGCCAGAGGACGAGAGGACTCTAGCCGCCACGCATATAAAGGATTTAGAGTGAAAAACTTTGTTTTTATGGGTTATACTTATTTAATCTTTTATATTAAGTTCACTTGCTTGCTTGCTTGCTTACGGCCGTGCAAATCTTTCGGTCGTTTTTTAACCCACTTCCCGTGATCCAATCGAGCTGGCATTTTGCACACAGACTCGTTGTGCGAGACAATGAATTTCCGTGAAAACATTTTTCCAAAATTTTACACTTTTTAGGGAATTTTTTTTAAATACGTATTTATTAATTGGTTAATGCTGGCACACAATCATCTGACCCATAGGTGGCAGCCATCTCAAGCCAGAGGACGAGAGGACTCTAGCCGCCCCGATGCCACACATATAAAGGATTTATAGTGAAAAACGTAGTTTTTACGGGTTATACTTGTGTCTTTAGTTTAAATCGCCGGTGAAGTGTCGGACAACTGAATCAGAGGCCCGGATGACTCTTCCCATCGCTGCGAATTCTCTCGACACACGGGAACATGCACCCCTCACCTGCATCATCGACACAGTTGCTGTAGCAGCCGATGGCACCGAAACCACCACCGCCACCGCCACCACCACCGCCGCCACCGCCATCGGCACCATGATCACAGAGGGCTTGCGGCTTTCTTTTTGTTGAACTGTCTTTCTCCTGTGCCGGATGGAGTTTGCCCTCTTGCGCGGTACGGCAGCTTAATTATGTCCCTTGGTGCGAGCGAGCGAGTGATGCGTGATTCACCGCTCTGTTGCCGTGAGTTGGAGCCGCCTCCGATGAGCGCTGCTGGCGAAAGGAAGTTGGGCATTGGTCACATACACGTGATTTTACACTACGCCATACACTACGCTATACACTACAGTATACACTATACTATACACTACACTATACACTACGCACTATACACTACACTATACACTACTATACACTACACTATACACTACACTATACACTACACTATACACTACTATACACTACACTATACACTACGCACTATACACTACACTATACACTACTATACACTACACTACTATACACTACACTATACACTACGCACTATACACTATGCACTATACACTAGGCTATTGTACACTACACTATACACTACACTATACACTACACTATGCACTACGCACTATACACTACACTATACACTACACTATACACTACACTATACACTACACTATGCACTACGCACTATACACTACACTATACACTAAACTATATACTACGCACTATACACTACACTATACACTACACTATACACTACACTATACACTACGCCATACACTACGCACTATACACTACACTATATACTACGCACTATACACTACACTATACACTACACTATACACCACACAATACACTACGCCATACACTACACTATACACTACACTATACACTACGCTAATATACACTACACTATACACTACACTATACACTACACTATTATACACCACTATACACTGCGCTGTTTTACGCTACACTATACACTACACTATACACTACTATACACTACACTATACACTACTATACACTAGGCTATTATACACTACACTATACACTACACCAATATACACTACATCAATATACACTACACTATACACTACACTATACACTACACTACACACTACACCACTATACACTACACTTACTCTATACACTACGCACTACACACTAGGCTATTATACACTACACTATACACTAGACTATACACTACACTATACACTACACTACTATACACTACACTATACACTACACTATACACTACACTACTATACACTACACTATACACTACACTATACACTACGCACTATACACTACGCCATACACTACGCACTATACACTACACACTATACACTACACTATACACTACACTATACACTACACTATACATTACGCCACTATACACTACACTATACACTACGCACTATACACTACACTATACATTACGCCACTATACACTACACTATACACTACACTATACACTACGCACTATACACTACACTATACATTACGCCACTATACACTACACTATACACTACGCACTATACACTACACTATACACTACACTATACACTGCACTATAAGAAGTCCAACAAACGTACGGACGTACATTTTCATCATCATCTGAATGCAAGGAGACCCATACAGACACAGACCCATACAGACACAGAGACCCATACAGACACAGAGACCCATACAGACACAGAGACCCATACAGACACAGAGACCCATACAGACACAGAGACCCATACAGACACAGAAACCCATACAGACACAGAGACCCATACAGACACAGAGACCCATACAGACACAGAGACCCATACAGACACAGAGACCCATACAGACACAGAGACCCATACAGACACAGAGACCCATACAGACACAGAGACCCATACAGACACAGAGACCCATACAGACACAGAGACCCATACAGACACAGAGACCCATACAGACACAGAGACCCATACAGACACAGAGACCCATACAGACACAGAGACCCATACAGACACAGATACCCATACAGACACAGAGACCCATACAGACACAGAGACCCATACAGACACAGAGACCCATACAGACACAGAGACCCATACAGACACAGAAACCCATACAGACACAGAAACCCATACAGACACAGAAACCCATACAGACACAGAGACCCATACAGACACAGAGACCCATACAGACACAGAGACCCATACAGACACAGAGACCCATACAGACACAGAGACCCATACAGACACAGAGACCCATACAGACACAGAGACCCATACAGACACAGAGACCCATACAGACACAGATACCCATACAGACACAGAGACCCATACAGACACAGATACCCATACAGACACAGAGACCCATACAGACAGAGAGACCCATACAGACACAGAGACCCATACAGACACAGAAACTCATACAGACACAGAGACCCATACAGACACAGAGACCCATACAGACAGAGAGACCCATACAGACACAGAGACCCATACAGACACAGAGACCCATACAGACACAGAGACCCATACAGACACAGAGACTCATACAGACACAGAGACCCATACAGACACAGAGACCCATACAGACGCAGAGACCCATACAGACGCAGAGACCCATACAGACACAGAGACCCATACAGACACAGAGACCCATACAGACACAGAGACCCATACAGACACAGAAACCCATACAGACACAGAAACCCATACAGACACAGAAACCCATACAGACACAGATACCCATACAGACACAGAGACCCATACAGACACAGAAACCCATACAGACACAGAAACACATACAGACACAGAAACCCATACAGACACAGAGACCCATACAGACACAGAGACCCATACAGACACAGAGACCCATACAGACACAAAATCCCATACAGACACAGAGACCCATACAGACACAGAGACCCATACAGACACAGAGACCCATACAGACACAGAAACCCATACAGACACAGAAACCCATACAGACACAGAAACCCATACAGACACAGAAACCCATACAGACACAGAAACACATACAGACACAGAAACCCATACAGACACAGAAACCCATACAGACACAGAAACCCATACAGACACAGAGACCCATACAGACACAGAGACCCATACAGACACAGAGACCCATACAGACACAGAGACCCATACAGACACAGAGACCCATACAGACACAGAATCCCATACAGACACAGAGACCCATACAGACACAGAGACCCATACAGACACAGAGACCCATACAGACACAGAATCCCATACAGACACAGAGACCCATACAGACACAGAGACCCATACAGACACAGAAACCCATACAGACACAGAGACCCATACAGACACAGAGACCCATACAGACACAGAAACACACCATAGATACACAGAGACCCACATAGAGATACAAACCCCGATAGACACAGAGACCCATACAGACACGGAGACCCATACAGACACAGAGACCCATACAGACACAGAGACCCATACAGACACAGAGACCCATACAGACACAGAGACCCATACAGACACAGAAACCCATACAGACACAGAGACCCATACAGACACAGAGACCCATACAGACACAGAGACCCATACAGACACAGAAACACACCATAGATACACAGAGACCCACATAGAGATACAAACCCCGATAGACACAGAGACCCATACAGACACGGAGACCCATACAGACACAGAGACCCATACAGACACAGAGACCCATACAGACACAGAGACCCATACAGACACAGAAACCCATACAGACAGAGAGACCCATACAGACACAGAGACCCATACAGACACAGAGACCCATACAGACAGAGAGACCCATACAGACACAAAGACCCATACAGACACAGAGACCCATACAGACACAGAGACCCATACAGACACAGAGACCCATACAGACACAGAGACCCATACAGACACAGAAACCCATACAGACAGAGAGACCCATACAGACACAGAGACCCATACAGACACAGAGACCCATACAGACAGAGAGACCCATACAGACACAGAGACCCATACAGACACAGAGACCCATACAGACACAGAGACCCATACAGACACAGAGACCCATACAGACAGAGAGACCCATACAGACACAGATACCCATACAGACACAGAAACCCATACAGACACAGAAACCCATACAGACACAGAAACCCATACAGACACAGAAACCCATACAGACACAGAAACCCATACAGACACAGAAACCCATACAGACACATAAACCCATACAGACACAGAGACCCATACAGACACAGAGACCCATACAGACACAGACACAGAGACCCATACAGACACAGAGACCCACATAGACACAGAGACCCATATAGACACAGAATCCCATACAGACACAGAAACCCATACAGACACAGAAACCCATACAGACACAGAAACCCATACAGACACAGAATCCCATACAGACACAGAAACCCATACAGACACAGAAACCCATACAGACACAGAGACCCATACAGACACAGAAACTCATACAGACACAGAAACCCATACAGACACAGAATCCCATACAGACACAGAAACCCATACAGACACAGAAACCCATACAGACACAGAAACCCATACAGACACAGAAACCCATACAGACACAGAGACCCATACAGACACAGAAACCCATACAGACACAGAAACCCATACAGACACAGAGACCCATACAGACACAGAATCCCATACAGACACAGAATCCCATACAGACACAGAATCCCATACAGACACAGAGACCCATACAGACACAGAATCCCATACAGACACAGAAACCCATACAGACACAGAAACCCATACAGACACAGAATCCCATACAGACACAGAAACCCATACAGACACAGAAACCCATAGAGACACAGAAACCCATACAGACACAGAAACCCATACAAACACAGAGACCCATACAGACAGAATCCCATACAGACACAGAGTCCCATACAGACACAGACACAGAGACCCATATAGACACAGAAACCCATACAGACACAGACACAGAGACTCATATAGATACACAGAGACGCAGATACCCATACAGACACAAAAACCCATACAGACACAGAAACCCATACAGACACAGAAACCCATACAGACACAGAAACCCATACAGACACAGAGACCCATACAGACACAGAAACCCATACAGACACAGAAACCCATACAGACACAGAATCCCATACAGACACATAATCCCATACAGACACAGACACAGAGACCCACTGTAGATACACAGAGACGCAGATACCCATACAGATGCATGGAGCCCGTTTAGTTACACAGGCCTCGTTAACATACACAGAGACCCATAGAGACAAAGAGACCCACATAGACACACAAATTACCCACGGAGAAACGAGCGACATTAACAACATCAACAACAACATCAACATCATCAACAACATCAGCAAAGTGCTAAGAAACTGACTTAGGCAACGAAACTTTGGTGGACGCTTTTCGAACTTGGGTTGGTTTTTTTCATCTCCGCGGTTTCGTGACATCACGCGGTCCAGTTCTGGTTTCCTCTTTCACTTCTCTCACCTGTCCGCCACAGGTGACGTTAGGAGGGGTGGGTGGGTGGTTGGGCTGGTGGATTAGTGAGTGAGGGGTAGGGTTAAGTGGGGTGGGTGGCTGAGTGTGTTAGTGGGTGTGTGGGTGAGTGAGTACGTGGGTGGGTGAGTGAGGGGGTTAGTGAGTGGGTGGCTGAGTGTGTTAGTGGGTGGGTTGGTGAGTGAGTGAGTAGGTGGGTGGGTGAGTGAGTAGGTGGGTGGGTGAGTGAGTAGGTGGGTGGGTGGGTGGTTGGGTGGTTGGGCTGGTGGATTAGTGAGTGAGGGGTAGGGTTAAGTGGGGTGGGTGGCTGAGTGTGTTAGTGGGTGGGTTGGTGAGTGAGTGGGTTGGTGGGTGAGTGAGTAGGTGGGTGGGTGAGTAGGTGGGTGGGTGGGTTGGTGGATTAGTGAGTGAGGGGTAGGGTGTGTGAGTGAGGGGGTTAAGTGGGGTGGGTGGCTGAGTGTGTTAGTGGGTGGGTTGGTGAGTGAGTAGGTGGGTGGGTGAGTGAGTAGGTGGGTGGGTGAGTAGATGGGTGGGTGGGTGAGTGGGTTGGTGGATTAGTGAGTGAGGGGTAGGGTGTGTGAGTGAGGGGGTTAGTGGGGTGGGTGGCTGAGTGAGTGAGTAGGTGGGTGGGTGAGTAGGTGGGTGGGTGAGTGAGTGGGTTGGTGGATTAGTGAGTGAGGGGTAGGGTGTGTGAGTGAGGGGGTTAGTGGGGTGGGTGGCTGGGTTAGTGGGTGGGTGGGTTGGTGAGTGAGTGAGTAGGTGGGTGGGTGAGTAGGTGGGTGGGTGGGTGGTTGGGCTGGTGGATTAGTGAGTGAGGGGTAGGGTGTGTGAGTGAGGGGGTTAAGTGGGGTGGGTGGCTGAGTGGGTTAGTGGGTGGGTTGGTGAGTGAGTGGGTTGGTGGGTGAGTGAGTGAGTGAGTAGGTGGGTGGGTGGGTGAGTGGGTTGGTGGATTAGTGAGTGAGTGGGTTGGTGGATTAATGAGTGAGGGGTAGGGTGTGTGAGTGAGGGGGTTAAGTGGGTGGGTGGCTGAGTGGGTTAGTGGGTGGGTTGGTGAGTTAGTGGGTTGGTGGGTGAGTGAGTGAGTAGGTGGGTGAGTGAGTGGGTTGGTGGATTAGTGAGTGAGGGGTAGGGTGTGTGAGTGAGGGGGTTAGTGGGTGGGTGGCTGAGTGGGTTAGTGGGTGGGTTGGTGAGTGAGTGGGTTGGTGGGTAAGTGAGTGAGTTGGTGGATTAGTGAGTGAAGGGTTGGGTGGGTGAGTGAGGGGGTTAGTGAGTGGGTGGCTGAGTGGGTTAGTGGGTGGGTTGGTGAGTGAGTGGGTTGGTGGGTAAGTGAGTGAGTAGGTGGGTGGGTGAGTGAGTGGGTTGGTGGATTAGTGAGTGAGGGGTAGGGTGTGTGAGTGAGTGGGTTAGTGGGGTGGGTGGCTGAGTGGGTTAGTGGGTGGGTTGGTGAGTGAGTGGGTTGGTGGGTGAGTGAGTGAGTAGGTGGGTGGGTGAGTGAGTGGGTTGGTGGATTAGTGAGTGAGTGGGTTAGTGGATTAGTGAGTGAGGGGTAGGGTGTGTGAGTGAGGGGGTTAGTGGGTGGGTGGCTGAGTGGGTTAGTGGGTGGGTTGGTGGGTGAGTGAGTAGGTGGGTGGGTAAGTAGGTGGGTGGGTGAGTGAGTGGGTTGGTGGATTAGTGAGTGAGGGGTAGGGTGTGTGAGTGAGGGGGTTAGTGGGTGGGTGGCTGAGTGTGTTAGTGGGTGGGTTGGTGAGTGAGTGAGTAGGTGGGTGGGTGAGTAGGTGGGTGGGTGAGTGAGTGGGTTGGTGGATTAGTGAGTGAGAAGTAGGGTTAAGTGGGGTGGGTGGCTGAGTGTGTTAGTGGGTGGGTTGGTGAGTGAGTGGGTTGGTGGGTAAGTGAGTAGGTGGGTGGGTGAGTGAGTGGGTTGGTGGATTAGTGAGTGAGGGGGTTAAGTGGGGTGGGTGGCTAAGTGGGTTAGTGGGTGGGTTGGTGAGTGAGTAGGTGGGTGAGTGGGTAGGTGAGTGAGTAGGTGGGTTAGTGAGGGATTGCGTGAGTAGGTGGGTGAGTGGGCATGTGAGTTGGTGAGTACTTGAGTTAGGTGAGTGGGTGGGTGAGTGAGTGGGTTAGTGAGTGGGTGGGTGAGTGAGTGGGTTAGTGAGTGGGTGGGTGGGTGAGTGAGTGGGTTAGTGAGTGGGTGGGTGAGGGAGTGGGTTAGTGGGTGAGTGAGTGGGTTGGTGAGTGGGTGATTGATTGAGTTAGGTGATTGGGTGGGTGAGTTAGGGAGTGGGTGGGTGAGTGAGTGAGTGAGTTGGTTGGTGAGTGGGTAGGTGAGTGAGAAGGTGGGTTAGTGAGGGAGTGCGTGAGTAGGTGGGTGAGTGGGCATGTGAGTTGGTGAGTAATTGAGTTAGGTGAGTGGGTGGGCGAGTGAGTGGGTTAGTGAGTGGGTGGGTGGGTGAGTGAGTGGGTTAGTGAGTGGGTGGGTGAGGGAGTGGGTTAGTGGGTGAGTGAGTGGGTTGGTGAGTGGGTGATTGATTGAGTTAGGTGATTGGGTGGGTGAGTTAGGGAGTGGGTGGGTGAGTGAGTGAGTGAGTTGGTTGGTGAGTGGGTAGGTGAGTGAGTAAGTGGGTTAGTGAGGGAGTGCGTGAGTAGGTGGGTGAGTGGGCATGTGAGTTGGTGAGTAATTGAGTTAGGTGAGTGGGTGGGCGAGTGAGTGGGTTAGTGAGTGGGTGGGTGGGTGAGTGAGTGGGTTAGTGAGTGGGTGGGTGAGGGAGTGGGTTAGTGGGTGAGTGGGTGAGTGAGTGGGTTGGTGAGTGGGTGATTGATTGAGTTAGGGAGTGGGTGGGTGAGTGAGTAAGTTGGTTGGTGAGTGATTTAGTTAGTGGGTGAGTAGGTGGGTTAGTGAGTGATTGAGTTAGTGGGTGAGTGGGTGGGTTAGTGAGTGATTGAGTGAGTGATTGTGTGGGTGAGTGAGTGATTGAGTGAGTGGGTGAGTGAGTGGGTGAGTGATTGTGTGGGTGAGTGAGTGATTGGGTGAGTGGGTGGGTGGGTGGGTGAGTGGGTGAGTGGATGGGTTAGTGAGTGATTGGGTGAGTGGGTGAGTGAGTGATTGTGTGGGAGAGTGAGTGATTGGGTGAGTGGGTGGGTGGGTGGGTGAGTGGGTGGGTGAGTGAGTGATTGAGTGAGTGATTGTGTGAGTGGGTGGGTGGGTGGGTGAGTGGGTGGGTGAGTGAGTGATTGAGTGAGTGGGTGAGTGGGTGAGTGAGTGATTGAGTGATTGTGTGGGTGAGTGAGTGTTTGGTTGAGTGGGTGAGTGGGTGGGTGGGTGAGTGGGTGGGTGGGTGGGTCAGTGAGTGGGTGGGTGGGTGAGTGAGTGGGTGGGTGAGTGATTGAGTGAGTGGGTGGGTGAGTGGATGGGTGGGTGGGTGAGTGGGTGGGTGAGTGAGTGGGTGGGTGGGTGAGTGAGTGGGTGGGTGAGTGGGTGGGTGAGTGAGTGATTGAGTGGGTGGGTGGGTGAGTGAGTGGGTGGGTGAGTGAGTGGGTGAGTGATTGTGTGGGTGAGTGAGTGATTGGGTGAGTGGGTGGGTGGGGGAGTGGGTGAGTGGGTGGGTGAGTGAGTGATTGGGTGAGTGGGTGAGTGAGTGATTGTGTGGGTGAGTGAGTGATTGGGTGAGTGGGTGGGTGGGTGGGTGAGTGGGTGGGTGAGTGAGTGGGTGGGTGAGTGAGTGATTGAGTGAGTGGGTTGGTGAGTGACTGTGTGGGTGGGTGAGTGATTGTGTGGGTGGGTGAGTGGGTGGGTGGGTGGGTGAGTGGGTGAATGAGTGATTGAGTGAGTGGGTGAGTGGGTGGGTGGGTGAGTGGGTGAGTGGGTGAGTGGGTGAATGAGTGATTGAGTGAGTGGGTGAGTGGGTGGGTGGGTGGGTGAGTGAGTGAGTGGGTGAGTGGTGGGTGGGTGATTGAGTGGGTGGGTGAGTGGGTGAGTGGGGTGGGTGAGTGGGTGAGTGAGTGAGTGGGTGGGTGGGTGGGTGAGTGGGTGGGTGGGTGAGTGAGTGATTGGGTGAGTGGGTGGGTGAGTGAGTGGGTGAGTGGGTGGGTGGGTGGGTGAGTGAGTGGGTGAGTGGGTGGGTGGGTGAGTGGGTGAGTGGGTGGGTGGGTGGGTGGGTGAGTGAGTGAGTGAGTGAGTGAGTGAGTGAGTGGGTGAGTGGGTGGGTGGGTGAGTGAGTGAGTGGGTGAGTGGGTGGGTGGGTGAGTGGGTGAGTGGGTGGGTGGGTGGGCGATGTGAGTGAGTGGGTGAGTGGGTGGGTGGGTGATTGAGTGGGTGGGTGAGTGGGTGAGTGGGTGAGTGGGTGGGTGAGTGGGTGAGTGGGTGGGTGGGTGAGTGAGTGGGTGAGTGAGTGAGTGGGTGAGTGGGTGAGTGGGTGGGTGAGTGGGTGATTGAGTGGGTGGGTGGGTGAGTGGGTGGGTGAGTGGGTGGGTGGGTGAGTGAGTGAGTGGGTGAGTGGGTGGGTGGGTGAGTGGGTGAGTGGGTGGGTGGGTGGGTGGGTGGGTGGGTGAGTGAGTGAGTGGGTGAGTGGGTGGGTGGGTGGGTGGGTGAGTGAGTGGGTGAGTGGGTGGGTGGGTGAGTGGGTGAGTGGGTGGGTGGGGGGTGGGTGGGTGGGTGAGTGAGTGAGTGGGTGAGTGGGTGGGTGGGTGGGTGAGTGAGTGAGTGGGTGAGTGGGTGGGTGAGTGGGTGAGTGGGTGGGTGGGTGGGTGAGTGAGTGAGTGGGTGAGTGGGTGGGTGGGTGAGTGAGTGGTGGGTGAGTGGGTGAGTGGGTGAGTGGGTGGGTGATGTGGGTGAGTGGGTGGGTGGGTGATTGAGTGGGTGAGTGAGTGAGTGGGTGAGTGGGTGGGTGAGTGGGTGATTGAGTGGGTGGGTGGGTGAGTGGGTGGGTGAGTGGGTGGGTGAGTGAGTGAGTGATTGGGTGAGTGGGTGGGTGAGTGGGTGGGTGAGTGAGTGGGTGAGTGGGTGGGTGAGTGGGTGGGTGGGTGATTGGGTGAGTGGGTGGGTGGGTGAGTGAGTGATTGGGTGAGTGGGTGGGTGAGTAGGGTAGGTCGGTGGTGATAGCAGCTCAACCACGTGGGTGATGACATCATCATCACGTGGTGACGTCGTTTTGTTGTTGTTGTTGTTGTTTTTGCGTTACCACTCATTGTTGTTGTTGTTGTTATCGGCAACCGTGAAAACTTTTAATTGTTTACATATTAAATTTAGATGTAAAGCTTCTTTCGTGACTGCAGGGATTCATATTGTTGGTTCTTTCGGTAAAGTCATCACGTTAGAAGGGAAATAATAAAATAATAAAAAATATGAAACAATAAAATTCTCAAGACGTTTCGACTGCAACACGAGCAATCGTCATCAGGTGTGAAAACAACGGCAAGAAAATTAGAAATTAGAAAATTTGAAAAAAATGTCTTACTGTTTTATTGTTTCCCTTCTACGTGAGTTTACTGAAAGAAGCAAGAATATTGTTTAGATTTTAACACGTTTTTAAAATATTCTTGGTTCTTTCGGTAAAGTCACGTAGAAGGGAAATAATAAAATAATAAAAATATAAAAATTCTCACGACGTTTTCGACTGTCGTGATAATTTTTAATCGTTTTATATTTTTATTATTTTATTATTTCCATTCTAACGTGATGACTTTACCGAAAGAACCAAGAAGATGGATCCCTGCAGTCACGAAAGCTTTACATCGAAATTGTAATTTGTTTCGATTTAAAGTTTTCGTGACTGCAGGGATTCATCTTTTTGGTTCTTTCGGTAAAGTCATCACGTTAGAATGGAAATAATTATTTTATTATATTATTTTAATGTTTTATGTTTATTATTTTATTATATTATATACATTTATTATATTATTTTATAATTGTATATTATTTTATTACTATATTTTATTATATTATATTATTCAATTATTTTATTATGTTTCATTTTATTATTTTATTATTTCCCTTCTACGTGACTTTACCGAAAGAACCAAGAAGATGAATCCCTGCAGTCACGAAAGCTTTAAATCGAAAATGGAAATAATTATTATATTATTTTATTATAGTATTTAAATGTTTTATGTTTATTATTTTATTATATTATTAATTTTTTAAATATTATATTATTCAATTATTTTATTATGTTTCATTTTTTTATTTTATTATTTCCCTTATACGTGACTTTACCGAACGAACCAAGAAGACGAATCCCTGCAGTCACTAAAGCTTTAAATCAAAACATGTTTTTTAAAAATTTTGCATTTTCAATTTGACCGCATGAAACATCCATATGACGTCACAGCCCACGTGGGGTGGGGTGGTCAACGTGGAATCGAAGCAAAACTTTTTGTAGTTGATAGCGGAATCGTTTAACCGATTCGATTCCTACTGTTGGCGGACGGCGTTTCCGGGAATCGTGAATCGAGCTCGGAATCGATCCACGTACTACGCGCCTAGAAAATCGATTTTCGAAGCCACCTTATCAAATAAAAATTAAATAAAGATATCGAAAGACTTTAATCGATAACTAGAATGTTCAAATTAAGTTGACTTTGTCCTGTGTGCCCTTCGAATGGAAATAATATATTTAAAATAATATCCCCGTTGATTGGAATCGGAAATCGATTCGGTCGGGTGATCGATTCTTTCAATGCGCTTTCACAGAAGTGAATTCAAAATAAACACGGAAATTCCTGGTGAGTGGTGAGTGTGGTGAGTGTGGTGGTGGTGAGTGGTGAGTGTGGTGGTGAGTGTAGTAGTGGTGGTGGTGAGTGTAGTGGTGAGTGTAGTGGTGGTGAGTGTAGTGGTGGTGGTGAGTGTAGTGGTGAGTGTGGTGGTGAGTGTGGTGGTGGTGAGTGGTGAGTGTGGTGGTGAGTGTAGTAGTGGTGAGTGTAGTGGTGGTGGTGAGTGTAGTGGTGAGTGTAGTGGTGGTGAGTGTAGTGGTGAGTGTGGTGGTGAGTGTAGTGGTGGTGGTGGTGAGTGTAGTGGTGAGTGTGGTGGTGAGTGTAGTGGTGGTGGTGAGTGTGGTGGTGGTGGTGAGTGTGGTGGTGAGTGTAGTGGTGAGTGTGGTGAGTGTGGTGAGTGTGGTGGTGAGTGTGGTGAGTGTGAGTGGTGAGTGTGTGTGGTGAGTGTGGTGGTGAGTGGTGGTGAGTGTGGTGGTGAGTGTGGTGGTGAGTGTGGTGGTGAGTGTAGTGGTGAGTGTGAGTGGTGAGTGTGTGTGGTGAGTGTGAGTGGTGAGTGTGGTGAGTGTGGTGAGTGTGGTGGTGAGTGTGTGTGGTGAGTGTGGTGGTGAGTGGTGGTGAGTGTGGTGGTGAGTGTGGTGGTGAGTGTGGTGGTGAGTGTAGTGGTGAGTGTGAGTGGTGAGTGTGTGTGGTGAGTGTGAGTGGTGAGTGTGGTGAGTGTGGTGAGTGTGGTGGTGAGTGTGTGTGGTGAGTGTGGTGGTGAGTGGTGGTGAGTGTGGTGGTGAGTGTGGTGAGTGGTGAGTGTGGTGAGTGTGGTGAGTGTAGTGGTGGTGGTGAGTGTGGTGGTGAGTGTAGTGGTGGTGGTGGTGAGTGTGGTGGTGAGTGTGGTGGTGAGTGTGGTGAGTGTGGTGAGTGTGGTGGTGAGTGTGGTGGTGAGTGTGGTGGTGAGTGTGGTGAGTGTGGTGGTGAGTGTGGTGGTGAGTGTAGTGGTGGTGGTGGTGAGTGTAGTGGTGAGTGTGGTGGTGAGTGTAGTGGTGGTGGTGAGTGTGGTGGTGGTGGTGAGTGTGGTGGTGAGTGTAGTGGTGGTGGTGAGTGGTGGTGAGTGTGGTGAGTGTGGTGAGTGTGGTGGTGAGTGTGGTGAGTGTGAGTGGTGAGTGTGTGTGGTGAGTGTGGTGGTGAGTGGTGGTGAGTGTGGTGGTGAGTGTGGTGGTGAGTGTGGTGGTGAGTGTAGTGGTGAGTGTGAGTGGTGAGTGTGTGTGGTGAGTGTGAGTGGTGAGTGTGGTGAGTGTGGTGAGTGTGGTGGTGAGTGTGTGTGGTGAGTGTGGTGGTGAGTGGTGGTGAGTGTGGTGGTGAGTGTGGTGAGTGGTGAGTGTGGTGAGTGTGGTGAGTGTAGTGGTGGTGGTGAGTGTGGTGGTGAGTGTAGTGGTGGTGGTGGTGAGTGTGGTGGTGAGTGTGGTGTTGAGTGTGGTGAGTGTGGTGAGTGTGGTGGTGAGTGTGGTGGTGAGTGTGGTGGTGAGTGTGGTGGTGAGTGTGGTGGTGAGTGTAGTGGTGGTGGTGGTGAGTGTGGTGGTGAGTGTGGTGTTGAGTGTGGTGAGTGTGGTGAGTGTGGTGGTGAGTGTGGTGGTGAGTGTGGTGGTGAGTGTGGTGGTGGTGAGTGTCTTGGTTAGTGTCACCCACTCACCCACTCACTCACACACCCACCCACTCACCCACTCACTCACTCACCCACCTACTAACCCACTCACTCACCCACTCACCCACTCACTCACCCACTCACACACACCCACCCACTCACTCACCCACACACCCACCCACTCACTCACCCACCTACTCACCCACTCACCCACTCACCCACCCACACACTCACCCACTCACCCACTCAACCACTCACCCACTCCCCCACTCACTCACCCACTCACCCACTCAATAACCCACTCACTCACCCACTCACTCACTCACTCACCCACACACTCACCCACACACCCACCCACCCACTCACCCACCCACTCACCCACCCACTCACCCACCCACTCACCCACCCACCCACTCACTCACTCACCCACTCACTCACCCACTCACTCACACACCCACCCACGCACCCACTCACTCACCCACCAACCCACTCACTCACCCACACACCCACCCACTCACTCACCCACCTACTCACCCACTCACCCACTCACCCACCCACACATTCACCCACTCACCCACCCACTCACTCACCCACACACCCACCCACTCACTCACTCACTCACCCACTCACCCTTCAACACCTTACGATTTCCATCCCTCCCCCTCCCTCCCTGCCCCCACTCACCTAACGCCTCCACAGACACACAGACAGACACAGAGATAACAACTTGACAGACAAAGCGAAAGCAAGACAAGAGAAACACAGACACCGACAGAGAGACAGACAGACAGAGAGAACATCTCTCTGTCTCTCCCGGTCCGCCACCGCATGGAGAACAACCTGGAGTCGGACATGGCCGTACGAGAAGTCCACCACCTCCCGTCAAGGAAGGATCTCCGTCACCTCCGTGCCGGTGGTGGCGACGATTCCTCCTGTGACTTTGGCCCCGGCGGGGAGATTCCATCGGCGCCCAGCGATGTGAGCTCCCTCCTGCAGAGCCTGGAGCTCGGTGAGACGCGGCTGGGACAGCGAGGAGATGGAGGAGGAGGTGGAGGAGGTGGAGGTGGAGGAGGTGGAGGAGGTGGAGGTGGTGGAGGTGGTGGAGGTGGAGGAGGTGGAGGAGGAGGAGGTGATGATGTTGGGGAGGTCCCGGAATGCCGTCGTCAGCACAAGGTGATTCGCTTGAGGCTGAGTCGATCTAGGGGTGGAGGTGGTGGTGGTGGTGGTGGTGGTGGGGGTGGTGGTGGTGGTGGCGGTGGGGGTGGTGATGGTGGTGGCGGTGGGGGTGGTGATGGTGGTGGTGGTGGTGGGGGTGGTGGTGGTGGTGGAGGTGGTGGGGGCGGTGGGGGTGGTGATGGTGGCGGTGGGGGTGGTGATGGTGGTGGTGGTGGTGGGGGTGGTGCTGGTGGGGGCGGTGGGGGCGGTGGGGGTGGTGATGGTGGCGGTGGGGGTGGTGATGGTGGTGGTGTAGGTGGTGGAGGTGGTGGTGGAGGTGGTGGTAGGGTTGGTGGTGGAGGTGGTGATTGGGGCGGTGGTGGAGGTGGTGGTGGTGGTGGTGGTGGTGGAGGTGGTGATGGTGGTGATGGTGATGGGGGTGGTGGTGGTGGTGGTGGTGATGGTGGTGGTGGAGGTGGTGGTTGTGGTGGTTGGGGCGGTGGTAGTGGGGGCGGTAGTGGAGGTGGTGGTGGTGGTGGTGGCGGTAGTGGCCCTGATATGTCAATCACACACACTCACCCACCCACCCACACACCCAACTCACACACCCACCAACACACCCACCAACACACCCAACTCACACACCAACTCACACACCCACCAACACACCCACCCACACACTCATCCACACACACCAACTCACACACCCACCCACTCACCCACCCACCCACACACCCAACTCACACACCCTCCCAGCCACCATACCCATCGCATCGCTTCCCCAGCCTCAATCAAGATTCCCTTTCTCCATTCTGTCCAGCAGCAGCATCAGCAACATCAACAGCAGCAGCAACAGCAGCAGCAGCAGCAACAGCAGCAACAGCAACAACAACAGCAGCAACATCAGCAACATCAGCAACATCATCATCAGCATCAGCAGCAGCAACAGCAGCAGCAACAGCAGCAGCAACATCATCATCAGCAGCAGCAACAGCAGCAGCAGCAGCAGAAGGCCGATCCCGTGTTGGTGAAAGTTCGTCCGCAGCAAGCTGAGGCGACTGGGACCACGGTGGATACTGCCAAAGTGACGACGGTAAGGCCCATGGGACTGGCAAAAGATGGCCTCTGTAGCCACGGTGGAGGCTCATGTCTCCGGCAAAAGATGGTCTTTGTAGCCACGGTGAAGGCTCATGTCCCTAGGAAAAGATGGTCTTTGTAGCCACGGTGGAGGCTCATGTCTCCGGCAAAAGATAGTCTTTGTAGCCACGATGAAGGCTCATGTCTCCGGCAAAAGATGGCCTTTGTAGCCACGGTGAAGGCTCATGTCTCCGGCAAAAGATGGTCTTTGTAGCCACGGTGGAGGCTCATGTCTCCGGCAAAAGATGGTCTTTGTAGCCACGGTGGAGGCTCATGTCTCCGGCAAAAGATGGTCTTTGTAGCCACGATGAAGGCTCATGTCTCTGTTGTATGTGTTGTGATTATGAAATTTGATGAAAATAATAAAAATTAATAATTTTCCGAAAAATGCGCAAATCGCATTAATTATGATAGTGTGTGTATTAATACGCATACATTATGATAATGCGTGTGATTATATGCATAAATTATGATAATCGTAGTAATTTATGCGGAGGCTTGCGATTATGTTAATGTGTGCAGTTACGATAATTTGCTTAGTTTCGTTTATCCAGGGTTATCAATCAGGATAACACGATTATCATAGATTCATTTACCGATTATCCTAGTGTGTGTTATAATATTTTAGGTCTCCATTTTCATATCTCATCACAGGATACAGTTGTCAAGAATAAGACAGTTTTGCATGGACTTGGAAGGAACACTCGATATGCTTCTGGATTACAATTTTATTCTAACAAGCACGTGACATTCTATCATGCAGGTCAAACATGCGTCAATAATTCATGGGCAAGATTATGCAATTAACTAATATGAACGACAAAAACTTATGCAGTTGTGACATTATGCAATTATGCAATATGAATAACGAAAACTCTTATGCATTTGACTAAAATGAATGAATAAACACTTATGCATTTAGCTAAATTGAATAACTAAAAATTCTTATGCATTTGCGATATTATGCATTAACTAATATGAATAACCAAAACTCTTATGCAATTACGAGATTATGCATTTGACTAAAATGAATGAATAAACACTTATGCATTTAACGAACTGAATGACTAAAAATTCTTATGCATTTGCGATATTATGCATTAACTAATATGAATAACCAAACTCTTATGCAATTACGAGATTATGCATTTGACTAAAATGAATGAATAAACACTTATGCATTTAACGAACTGAATGACTAAAAATTCTTATGCATTTGCGATATTATGCATTAACTAATATGAATAACCAAACTCTTATGCAATTACGAGATTATGCATTTGACTAAAATGAATGAATAAACACTTATGCATTTAACGAACTGAATGACTAAAAACACTTCTATCAATTGTAACCTCTACTTTTCTACCAGGCATCATTAGTTCGCCCATGTATTGATCACAATCGGCGACTGGTCGAGTTTGAAAACAAGCATGACACACTTCATATGGCGGTAATAAAAAGCACTTATTGTATCCCAGAGGCGAAAGTATATGTCAATAGATTCATCGGCAAGTCTAAAATCCTTTTTAACGGAATGTTTGATACAATGGTGGGTGAGGGCGTGTGGGCGCGAGAGCGAATCTGGCTCTGTTGTAATTAATTCTTCGGCGAGACTCTGGGACAAAGGAAACTGGTTTGACAAGATATTCTCTCTCTGTGTTCGGTCGATTCGTAATGAGGATTCCGAGAGTTTGAGTTTGCCTTGACGAGTCTATTGATCGCCTATGTGATGAGCGGAACAAGGGAAAGACACGGTAACAACTTTACTCTTATAACCGACGGACTCTTAATCACTCGATGGGCCGCGATTCCGCATGGCCAGCTGATGGTTCATGTAGTTGATAATCAGTCTTCTGATAATTGACTAGGGTTGATACGATGGTAAGGGTGAACTAGATGGGATAGTCTCACAGGTGAGTGGGGCGTCAATGCGTGCGTGTGTGGGTCTATTGGTGGGGGAAGTTGTGGGTACGAACGACTTTCGGAGAAGGACCCTCTGGCTTGCGCAGCTGCGGTGAGAGGGTGAGCGGCTCGCTTTCCGACTCCTTTCTTGGCTGACCCCGTACGATGACTGACGCGCGGCCACGCTCGTTTGCGTGGTCAGGCGATGCACCTCGGCGTGGCGACACGGCAGGGGAGCTGGACTCGTACACTCGTGTGCGGCAGGCGATGCACCTCGGCGTGGTGACACGGCAAGGGCGCCTGGCTCGTACACTCGTGCGCGGCAGGCGATGCCTCGGCACCGCGCGATCCTCGTCCTTCTGGATGACGAAAAGCTTCTTCGTTGGCGGCGACGAGGAGAGATGGTTGTCGCCCTGGAGAACTCTGGTGGGGCCTTAGCCCGGAGACGAGATGAGATGTAGGCCGGAGCTCGTGAAGATCTGTGGTGGAGCCGAAGATGGGCTCGTAGCCCGGATGATATGTGTGTTGGAGCCGAAGCCCGGACGATATGTGATGGGGGCCAGAGCCCCTGACGAACTGTGATGGAGGCCAAAGCCCCTGTCGATCTGAGTTGTATGGATTTTCCTTCGGTTTATATCGGAAAATTCCACTCGGCTCCCCGAGTTGTTCAAAGCTGTGTCATAAAACCTTCCTGTGGGGGTGGACCATCTGCGTCCGTGTGTGTGTCCGTTCGTGTGTTTCGCGTGCGTGTTTGTCCGTGTGTTTATTAGCTTTGAAGACACAGCTGTGTGTGTCGTTCTGGAAGAAAGGGGGTGGGGGCCTCGTGTCGGCTGCTTCAGAAGTTATCCATTAGCCAGACCGATGATTCGCGTTGAGTTAAAAAAAAAACATTCGAATCCATGTTTTGTTACTGAATAACATTTGTCGCGAAAACCTACGCGTTAAGCGAGCTTAACTATTCACTCCCTTGCTCTGGGATCACATCCTTTGTCTCACACAGCTTAAGTTGGTTTGGTTTGGAAGTTGAAATGCGACTTATTTGCTGCTTGGTTATGCCGAAACAGTGTTCACGATGTTTCATCGTGACCCAACCTTTATGGGTGTCATTTCCTGGCTTGGTGCCTGTGTGTGGAGATCCTCTCGGAAAGACAAAGGCGGTCGTGTTGCTCGCTTCCCATGGGTGTTGTGTTTGGTTAATTTTGAGAGCCTTCTCCGCCCTTGATTCCTCTTCTACTTTAATTCCGTACTTATTATTTGACTTCTTGTGATTATTTAATCTGATATCCCGGCTTATCTTTGTTCAGAATATAATTATCTCTTACTCCATGGTGCCTGGTTCTGTGGTTTTTTTTTTAACAAAACGATGTCCTGCTGACCCCCCCCCCCCCGCCTGCAATTCCCCCCCTCCCTTGTTCCTCTTGTGTGAATTTAGGGGAGTTTTTATTACCTTATTGCCCCCCCTTTCATGTCCTCTCTCCTTTGAAATGAGGTATGCGCGCATCTGTGGAAGTGTGGGGGCCTCTGTGGAAGTGTGGGGGCGTGTTCGTTCCCACGTGGCCGCGTCTATTAAAAAAAACGATATTATCTATGTTGGCAGAATAATTCTTTAAAAAAATTAATATTAAAAAAAAATAAAAAGGGGGTACATACACAACAGTCCGCCCGTTTGAAAATTATCAGGGGTCGATTTGGCCACTGGCGAATTTTCAAACAAAGTAATGCCCCCTTTTTATGTCATGAAT